CCACCAACGTTCACAGAGGCCACCAATGTTGATGATGCCTCAAACCTAACTAGAGGCCACCGCAGGGGTTTCCGTAATTCTTCCACCACCACGATGGCTTCGACGGTAGTAGCACACCACCATGAACACTGACTGAGTTGATATTTTATGCAGAATGCATTTAGGATCGTAGTAGCTCTGATACCATGTGAAATAGAGAAGATTGAACAATATTAGAGAGAAATGGAGAGTGGTCAAAACTTAACCTATCTCTCACAAAACACTTTGTATTTATAGTTAACTTGTAAAAATACAGAAGACATATATACCCTCTAATATTTACACACAAAACCCCAATACTCTTAACAGAGTTGAAAATATATGTCTAATTAGACGAATTCTTATTATTCGATAATAAGTGGATGCTCTTGAAGCTTAAGTTTCATAATTAAACCACTATCCAACTCCTTTGATATAAAATTTTGATTGTGCACATGATTGACATAATGTATAGCATAATTATACGTAAGCTAATAAAGTAGATTACACCCTCTTAGATTACCCACCTTAATATGCTAAACTTTGGCAGATTAATTAAATAAATAATAATAGTTATTCGAAACTGAACCCACCCATCTAAACCCATGACTAATCCAGAAAAATAGATGTTTGTATCTCCATACTAATGTAAGCTTCCCATATCTCTCCCTTTTTCTATTTCCCTCACTTCTAGTGTTCATCTTTATCGTCACTGTCAACTCAACCTTGCACTGCCACTCCCATCGCCCCCCCCCCCAATCCCAAGATCCCCTCTCTCCCATACATTCTCTCCCTTGTGTTCCCCTATGCTCCCCATGCCCCACTATTTCCTCCCTCTGTGGCACCACGTTCCCCAAATCTCCACCTGCCCCATGCTCCTAGATCCTCATCCTCTCTTTCCCTCTTGAATTCACACCCAACTATATTGACCTCAGTCTTCGCATGTGTACGTGTATTTTGTGTGTTCTTTGTATTGCATTAATGAGCAAGGTAGCAAATATCATATCAGATGAATTATGTCATTGCTCGATTAATTAATTTATTAAAAGAGGTCTAGGTACGGCAGTGGTGCTTATTGGTGATGTAGGGGTGGTCTTGGTATTGAACACCGATGACAAAATAGAATTGAAGACAGCAGTGGTGCTTATTGGTGATGTAGGGGTGGTCTTGGTGTTGAGCACCGATGATGAAATAGAATTGAAGACAACGACGACTATTAGACTTAGCTTCAAAGGAAAAAATTGAATAATAAGGAGAGAGAGAGAGAGAGAGAGAGAGGGAGAGAGAGATGTGGTAACAACTAACAAGTAGGTGTGGGGATTGCAATGGTAGGTGGTGTGGGGATGATTACTACTATGATAATTAATTACTAAAATTTTAATTATAATGATATAATTAGAAAACTAATTTCTAAAATTTTAGTTACCGTGTGATGGTTAGCTCAAAATTAATTAATTAATAACAAAGGAAAAGAATAGTTTAATGTTGTTGATTAATTACTCATGTTGTAATTAACATGGTATAATTAGACTTAAAAAATTGTAATTAGTGTGGTGATTAATTGTCAAAAATAGTTACTTGAAAAATTAAAGAGAAAATAAGCCAAAAAATTTATATAAATTATAGTGGCAGATTAAAATGGTGTTTTTAATATTATTTAGGGGTATAATAGTTTTATAAAATATCAATTTTACCACAAAAAGATATTTGAAAGATATTTAATGTTTTTGGTGATGTCATTGATTACTATTAGTCTTCATAACGTTGTGAGGGGGTCTTACTATTACAAATTTTTAAATGTGAAGGGGTCTCGATCCTATTCTTTGAATGTAAGTGTTCATATTAAAAAATATCATGCGATAGGATCCATGTGAAATTTATCTAAAATTGTAAACAAAGGAATAAGTTGTTGGTCCATCAATAGAGTACTACCTCGCTATTCTCTTTGGACATCAACATAAGTAGTTCACATATGTTTTATGAATAATGATAGCAGGGTCTAAAAATGTGACTTAAATTGCCAAAAAAGTCTTAAGAGTTGTAGTTAGAATAATGTTATTTGACAATATCAATTGCTACATCATCAGTCAGTAAATTAGATCAATTTTTAGGTCTAAATAACATTGCATATATTTAGTCAAAGAGAAGAGAGAGGAAATGTGAGCTCATTGTATTAGGAGCCCATTCAAAATTGTTCATATATTAAAAATTAACCTAGCTTGAGCCAAATTTTAAAGTTTGTTTAATGAATGAACCAAGTATGAATAATACATTACTCTACTCGTAAGGCTCATGAACAAAAGAGCTTGTTTATATTTGCGGAGACCATGAACTTTTATGAATTGTTAAGGTATTGCTGACAATATGCAATAGAGATGAGGGAGTGGACAAGTGGTAAGGGCCCACTCCGGCCGCATGTGATTTCAGGTTTTCACCTCATCCCATTCTTCATTCCTAAAAATACATAAAAAATTGACAATATGCAACAGAAGATAAAATAGATGCAAATAACGAACATCTGACACCAAATTTGGATTGAATTCTAGTCATTGCATTAACCACTTTAGTTGGTATATAGATTTCCATAGAGAATTGTTTCACATTTTATAAATGTTAAAGAAAACTTCCAGAATGTGTAACCAGTGTATTTCTAAACTTTGAACTATTAATCATGAAAGAAGGAATCGGGTTGAATAAGAGTAACTAAGCTTCAAATCAACTATTTAGTAGAAAAAGCCAAAAAACTGTGCGCTATAAAAACCTTTATAAGTGTACACCTTACATATCTATATGTTTTATGGCTTTATATGTGTATACATTCAACGATAATCTTGTTGAAAATGATTGCATATTACCTTTTATAATATTTATTTTTAACAAGCACAAAAATCTGTTTATTAGATTGAGGTAGTTTAATATTTTTCAATGGTTCTCCTGGTGTAAATTGCTAATAAAACAAGCAATTGTGTTGATCACAAATTCAATGTTAAATACTCACCATTGTTTTTATTAATGATAAATAATTGGCTTGTCTCTAGAGTATCAACCATGTCGTGTTATTTTTGGTTTGTATTGTATTCGAGTCGATGAAAAAGTTATTTAATTATGAAACAACTCATATGATAGATACTATGTTAAGGAATTTTAAAAAATTATAAAATACGCATTTTCTGCTTAAAGTACCAATTAATTGTGTTGTTCGTGTTTAATCTTAATTTAACTATTTATTATTCGTATCAATTAAGCGCATCATTTTTTGGTTTTGTGTTGTATTTGGGGGCAAAATACACCATTACTTGCCTCTCACTACGCTAGGCTCTCATTTTTCAAGTGACAGAGATAATAAGGCACTAAAAAGTAGAAAAAAGAAGCTCCTATAACAGAGGTCTTCTGCCCGTCTGTTCATTCTCATTCCCACATCAGAAAGGCTATAGAAATTGGGAAGTCTTATGACAGGCTCCACCAACTTTACTGTGAGCTGAGCATGTGATTGGAGTCCTGTGGAATTGGGACCCAATACTGTGGGACCCTTAGTTTTGTTCCACATTTGGCACGGTAGAGGACAAAAGGAGACATTGGCTCTTTTATAATATAGGATATATAAACAGAGACAAGCAGCTCAATCATATGAAATAACCTGATCCAGCAAATTGATAGAATGTAGTCTTGGTCACCGGTTGAAGGAGGACTTGGGCACTCTTTTTTGAACCGAGTTTAGTGGGCAAATTGAGTTTTGTTCAAGAAACACTTTCCCTTTAGTTGATTTTTGATGTAATCTGTGCTTGTGTATAAGCAGCTTGTACGAAAAGCTAGGTCAGTCTTTTTTTTAGTAACACAAGAGGAGTAAGAAAAAGAATGCCAAGCAGAAGGTGAGAGGTTGTCTTAAAAGCATCATGATTGTAAAACAGGAAAGAATGAGCAATTGTATTGGAATTCCTAGCCGGAGGAAACAAAAACTTACTCCAAGCATCCTGATTGCATGAGAAAGAAGCACAAGAGATGTGGAAAAAATATGAGCCTCTACAATCTACATTGGCCATTGTTCAATTATTCTGATCCTGTTAGTATAAGATGACACCTAACCTAATATCCAAGTATTTTCAAATACTAGCTCTGATGAATTCTTACTACAAATATGTTCTCAACCTCTTTCCTTTAGAAGGAACAAGAATGAAAAGTCAAACTCTTGAAATTAAAGGACTACTTAAAATCTAAAAATCTTTCATCATCAATTTCCTTCTCTTTTATGTTGTGTGTTTGATTAACTTTCCTCCTAAGGGATATTAAACAGTTGAATATCATTGCTGGTTACTATTCATATGCAATAGGAGGCCTATGAGTGGTTCATCAAACTTGAGAATAACGATAAAAAAAACTGGAGAGAAACTCACATATAAAGTTATTTTCTTAATTTTTACTTCCTATGTTTGTGCCTTGTGCTGCAAATAGGGGATATCATAAAGTTAAACAGCTGACTTACAAAACTTCTTGCCTTACATTTTGCAAGAAAAACTTGAAATGGGATATCATGAAGCTAAAAAGATGACTTAAAAAACCATTCGCATTGCATTTTGCGAGAATAACTCGAAAATCCTTTCTAAGATTCTATAGCAAGCCGATGTAGCTGCTTTGATTGGCTGAATTCACAAGGTTCAGTGGTGCTTAGTGGTGGTGTTGTAACAAAAACTTACTTAGTGGAATAGTAGCTTGTGAGATCATAAGGGACAACCTTTCTGGTACTTCAGTCAATCTAATCAGAGTGATGTGTGAGATATAAGGCACCTCTTCAATTTGTTCTAAAGGTTATTCAAAGAGAAATAGATATGTTGAGAGTTCCAAAATGAACTTCCTAAATCCATATCATTAGTGTTCCCCATCATTGAATAATGGTGGTGACTGGTGAATTGACTTTGTTGACCCGATGCTTTGTTAAGCATAATTTTTTATGATCACAAACATCTTAATGTGAACTAATGTATGCATTAGTGTATGGATGAGTGTAAGTGATTGCCAAAGAAGAGTAAGAAGGAAGAGAGAAATATGGTGTGCAGAGAGAAATTGGTGTGAACAAAGTGCGATGAAAAGCCTAAAAAATAGCCATCGGGAAGCTTATCCGGAAGAAGTCCAAAACTCTCTGGAGAAATAAAATTTGCCAATCTTGAAGAAAAAATAAAATTATCCAGAAGGGTATTTGGTATACTGGATAGGCTATTCAGAAGACTAGTCTGGTATGCCAGACACTCTATCCAGAATGCCGGATGTAATGGAATCAACAAAGGGGCAAGGCACATCCGGTATACTAGATAGGCCATCTGGAAGACTGGACCAGTATGCCTGACACCCTATCCAGTATGTCTGATGTAGAAGGAACAAGAGTAAACCAGCAAACCGCCTAGGTCTATCCGGAATACTGGACACTTTAGAACCGGTATGCTGGATGAAGAAGTGGTAGAGGTCCAAAACTTTTTGTAATAGGATGATCTTGAGGAAGTTTGGAGGACATCCGGTATGCCTGATGTAGCCGTTAGAGCTACAACGGCTACATCTGGATGCCTATCCGGTATGTCAAATAGTCTTCCATACGTGACGAATTTTTATGCCAACTAGGTCATTCTCTTATTTAAGACACCCAAAGTATAAACTGGAGTATGTGGGAGTTGAAGAACAACTTTTGGGCATTTGACTTTGAGTAAAAAGAAAAAGAGAGAGAGAGCGTCTAACTCTTGTTTTGACATTGAAAAGAATCTCGTAAAGCTTCCACTATCTTTATCGTCTCTAGTGCTTTGTGCTTCCATTGTATTGAGGGAGAATACTATTAAGCAAAAGAGAGATTTTATTCTTCTTGAAGTGTGCTAAGAAATGTTTTTCTACTTATATCAAGAAGGAAAAGATTATAAGGGTTTTGATTTTCACCCATTAAAGAGATTCAAGTTAGTAAAAAGAAACTCCAAGGGAAGGAAGAAGCGAGGATGTAGGTCAAGTGTGTTGAGGGTCGAACCTCTATATATCTAGTGTTTGCTCTTCTCTCTCTTAATCTTAAATACATTGCTTGTCCATATTCATATTCATTGCATATTTATTGCTCATACATTTACATTTAGGCAAAGTAATTTTACAAATAGTGAAATTGACTTTTAAGTAAATCTAAATAGAGAAAACCCAATTCATCCCCCCCCCCCCCAACCCGTGCCCCACATCTCTCTCCCTCTTAGCTTGCATTTGGGCCAACAGACTTTACCTCGTCTAAAGCTATAGAGCCCTTTGGCCTCCCAATGGCCACACATTGCAAATCAAGCCTACAAAGAAGTGATCTTTGTTGATGTTTTTTTTCCGATGATAGTAGTTGATGCATGAGGTATGATGGGTAAGGGAAGATGTTAGGAAAATAGAAAATAAAGTAATTATTTTTTAAGTGGATTTTTGGAGGCCTTATGGTTGTCTAAATGGAATTTCATAGATTATTTGATGTGATAGGGGAACAAATAAAGTCTAATTGTGTAGTGTTGGTTAATGGAGGTCGTATAGGTGGTTTAATACTTTGAGGGGTTTAAGGGTAGGGGTCTCGTTATCCCCTTTTCTCTTTACTTGTAGGATGGTTACTAAGACAACAGAGGTGGGTTTAATAGAGGGGTTGAAAGTGGGTGGTGATGGTGTAAGTGTGTTGTATTTGTAGATTGTAGATGATACTATTTTCTTCTTGTCTGGAGAAATGAAGGATTTGATAAGACATCTTTTTTCAATCTTAATCATTTAGATAAAGGGGTAAGTACAAGAAACCCCCTTGTATAGACTGGTAATGAACCACCTCCCTATATTTCAAACTTGCTTTCGAAGTGTAGAATTGATGGATTTCGTTTGCTTTAATTGGTGCATGACATACATGTCCAAATGAGATGTGTTTATAGTCTGTTGGGAGAATTACCCCTCCACTTTATATTTTTCCGGCTCTACCTGCCTATCTAAACCATGGGTACCACCACCCATGCATAGTAACTAAAGCACAACAGCCCACCACCACTAGTCACCTCTCTTTTTCACAAACACCGATATGTCTTGACACACAAAAACCCACCACCACCACACCTATCCACCCACTTGCCTCACCACCTGTATAACCCTCATCCAACTTTGATGAATTAACCCAATCCAGAATCCAATCTTTCACCAATCGAAAATCCTCACCCTATACATTCATATCCTCACCATTATATTGAATATATTGAATTCACCCTCGCCCAAACACCCTCAATGAGTTCCTCCTCACTGAAATGGGTCATTGAATGTTTGGTGGAGATAGGAGACTAGAGTTTAATATATTGTAGATCGGCAAAGCTATGGTTGGTGAGTGGGGGATGAATGCTCTCGAAGATGATGAAATGGAAATAATGGATGACACATATCAATTAGGTTTAAGAGTACGAAGTGGAGAGTGGCAGAAGTATAAAAAAAAAAAAAAATAGAGAGTAGCAGAAGGAATGTATTCTTGATTGCTTTTCTTTCTTGATTGATTGTTCACCGCAATGGGATAGAGAGAGGTAGAGAGGGGGTATTGCAGTGAACAGTGATAAATAATGAGAATCTCTTAATGTTTTAAGGGTTTTCTTTTGGACGTCTATTTGTCGCTTTGATTGCAAGTTGAATGAGGTTTAGCATAAATGTTTGAAGTACAATAAATTTATTTATTATCACGCCTTACCCCTTTAGATGATGCTCTCTTCACGATCAGTTCATAGTTATTAGTATCGTATGATATGCGATACATATCGTACGATAAAGTTGTTTATTGCCACGCCTTTTTTTTTCTTCCCTTTATTTAACCACCCCTTTAGATGATGCTCTATTTATGATCAATTCATAGTTATTAGTATCGTATGATACGCGATATATATCGTACTATACGTCACTATACCCTGAAAAACTATACGAATCGTGTTTCTGCATCGTTTTTGTATTGTATCGTGCAATATACGATATGATACGTTCTGTCCAATACATACAATATGTGGAGATTTTTTTTTTTTAATTGACGGCGTTTCACCCTGGACTTATTTTTTAATCCCTAGTCAGTGAAACAATGTCATTTCAGTGGCTAGGGTTTAAAAAAAAAAAATAAGTCTATTGTTAGTGTTGTTCAATTGAATCAAAATTTCTGATTAATGTTAATGTTGTTTAAGTGTTGATGTTAAAAGTTTGAATTAGAGATTTTTGAAATAATAATGAAATACTATGTTATTATGAGTCTATGTCTTTTTTATAAAGACATATATTTTATTAATAATTATTTAAAATTGAGCGTTTTTTACGATGCATGATACAATACACTATTTTTGAAAAAAAATTCGTCTTCTGATACGCGATTTAACAACTATGGATTAGTTCATACTCACGCACTCATAAATTCCTTGTAGATGCACATTATAAAGGTGCTGCCTTATTGTTATGATAAAGTATTTACCATGTTATATTTGCGTCTGTAATTGGTCCACCCTAGATCCCCTTTTCTCTTGCCTTGCTGGTCCAATAAGAATGTTAGATAGTTTTTGCCTTTACAGATTTATTTTCATTATGTTTATTGCTTTTATTTTTGGAATGATATTTAGCTTATGCAACTGCATGTGGTAGTGGTGCCTGTACAAACCTGTGCAGTTAAGCTTTACTTGATAGGGTAAGTTTTTGATAATTTTGAAGGACAGAACTGGATGAATTTTCTGGTGATGTTAAGTTTTGGGATATCAAGTTGAGATATCATTCTTCAAATTTTTTTTTTTTTTTTTGGGGATCTTGGAGTAATAAGCATTGGTGTTTTCTTCAACATATTTATTCAAATTCCTTGACAGGTTGGATTGTGAAGTGTTTTTGTTGCTTAATTGTATACCTTGTACAAGGCTTTTTCCGAGCATTTCCTGTTTAAGTTTTCTTTCATTTCAAAAATACTATGCCTCACGTATTATGATATATTGGATATTTCTGCAGATGAATACTTATTTTCTCCTGTTCTTCCATGAAAAACATAAACTTAAGCAAATATAAATATTGTGTTTGAATATACTGAACTTGATAGCACAAATATGTGAGTATATGTATAGAGACATATATATGTGGGCATATAGTTATAGTATTATATATGTACATATATATTAAAGTGCACGTTTATCTAATCTTGAAAATTTGGTGGTGGACTGCTGGTTCTCAAGAATGTCGTTGTTGCATGATGAATGTGGACTTACCATTTCGTATTACAAAGTATGCAACAATATATACTACATGACCTAAAGTTTTGTAAACAGTAGAAGTTGTTTGATGTCTCTTCTATTTTTGGTTTTAACATTTTGTTTCTCTTCCTTTAGTGCTGACAGATCACATCTAAAGAGGAAATTAGATCTTGAATTCCAAATCCCTGAGGAAGAGTAATCTATATACACTGCTTTCATTTGTCTTTTTTCTTCAAGGCAGCATCATTGTTTTGCGAGGTATGTGGAGGCAGATGAAGATTATACTAATTACCTTGTAAATATGATTTTTTTTCTCCAAATCAATCTGCATAATATTCATCACATTCTTTGTCAAAATTATTAGGGGGAATCGGCCCTTGGTGAATGGTATTGTCACTATATGAGCATATTGAAGGCATTTAAGATATGTTGTAACGAAACGGAAAAGTCATCCACTTTTTATACTCCCTTGGGAATGCGTACTACTGCCAATGGATGGCCAAAATTTTGACGAAGTTACTTATATTATATGGATGGCGGTTGAGATAGTTGATACATGATTTGGGAGTGGAAAATCCCATCATTTGATCTTGTATGATACTAGAGTCAAGACAGATCCAAATGAGTTGAAGCAAGAATGTTATTTATGATATGATAGAAAACATGTTTTCTGGAATCTTTGGCATATTGCCATGAGATGGTGTTTGTTGTTTGAGTGTGATTTTTTTTCCGTGTCCAGTTTTTTGGTTACATCAAAGCTTGCATGTAAGGAGCAGCCCAATGCATGAGGCTGCCATTACTGCAGGACTTGATGAGGATTAGCCCCGCCCTATATGAGGAGACACTATTTTTGTGAGTTGAACCTACAACACTCATGTCACAATAGGACAATCTTATTGCTACCTCTAGGTCCGCTCTAAACATAAAAGTTTGATTGCTCAACATTTTTTGTTCTGTTATTAGTGGATGGGTCATTATTTCATTTAATGGCTATGCGTAAGAGCATTCCAGAAACAGCGAAGTTGGAAACTAGTGCAGTGCAATGCTGTTTTTGGGGGATCTACGGTTGCACATTGCATTAAAGTTGCATTCCATACCAAATTAAATAACTGAAAGAAACAAAACAAAAGCCATACATTTCTATTGTTGGTGGTGGGAACTTTGATACCGGGCTTTAGATCGGAGCAGTTTACTGGGCCACATGAGCCGAAATCCATGTTTTGTATACCTATGCACTACGTGGTGCTGGGTTGGGCTTGTCCATGTTCTGTGGGCTGCTGTGCTATTGGTACAGCCGTGGACTGCAGGCCCAATGCCAAGATTTACCTCGTCAGTTCTCTCAATATATATGGACTATTATAAGGAGTAAACTTACCTCTCTTTTGTAGCAGGATTAGAATTTTTCACTAATCCCTTTCGCAGCACTGTGCTCATCAAAACAGTTATTTTAGCTCATAAGGATTTTTGCAAACTTACAGAAAACAAACAACCCTCCAAATAGCATTTCTTCTTCCACCACTAGCCTCCAGGGAACAACCCATAAAAAGAGTTGGAGGGGAATAAAGAGATTTAGGCGTCGTGGGTTCAAATCACCAGTACTTTTCCACATATAGAGATAAGACTGCATATATTAGACTATCATCGAACCTAACGGTAACTGAACCCCGTTGTGATTTGAACTGCCCCTTTTTTTTTTTTTTTTGTAATAAAAACATGTAGAATATCAACTTCACTAATAATATTAAACCTACAAGTAGGCCACCTCTGTCAACCCCTTCCATTCTCAACATGAACTGGCACCACGGCCACTTATGAATTGAAGTAAAACTGTATAATGTGAGTAAAAGAGTTGAGCATGTAAACCGCTCTCTGTAGAAGGGCCACAATCCTGAATTACAATGACTCATAGGCATTTCAAAATTTTCGGTCCCCAACAACACTATTCTTCCTCCTTTATTAAGGGTCAAGTGTCTCCACTGAGTGGTTGTCGCGTCATGACACTGCATCCACAGGGATTGCAGAGTTGGAGGCATTCTCTTGAGCCATCTTTGCCTAAACCAAAAAGGGAATTAAGGACCGTCATTAGATGGAAATGAAAATCGAACAAAAGATAAACGGTGGGAGGGGGCTCGGGGGTGGAGAGAGGGGGGTGAAGGGCATTTGGAGCACATTAAAAAGGATATAATGATTTACTTCGAGTTCCCAATTAGTTCGTATTGTGATGGTAAGAAGAGATACTACTTGAACAAAGAGTGCACAGATAATCCCCAGCCAGAGGCCCTAATATGAAACAAATTCAACAGACAGGATCATATAAAAATCTCTTGCAATGAATTAAAGATGTAAAAAGAAGACATAGAACTAGGGGAGAATGTTGGGCATTTGTACCTTTCCTCCAATGTGTAAAACAAAACCAAATAAAATAGCACAAGGAATGCCGACTAGATAATATGATCCAAGATTGATAAATGCTCCAATCTTCTGCTTTCCACATCCTCTAACACTGCCTAATGTTGCCAAAAACAATGTAAGAAAGTTAGCAAGGATACTTTCCATTTGTACCAAGTCATTTGTGAGTTCAAGTTCGAGTCCAAGAATCATCCTCTCCAAAATGGGCTAAAACTGCCTGCTACTTCCTTCTCCGAGACCCAATAAGGAGTCTTGTGCACTAGACACAATACATATTTTACCAACTTGAAAAACCAGTTGATCAAGTGATGTATTTACGGTCTGTTATTTTTCCTACAGTAGTGAATGATTTTATATGACCATCATTAAGTGAAGCATACTTCCTTATTTTGACCTGCCTAGTAAAAATTTCCACACTAACAAACAGAGATTAGATGCAATCTGTCTGTTTTATTTGTTGTTCATGGTCTCTTTAGAACAGAAGAAAGTACTTTAATAAATTTAGAGATAACCTGAAAGAACAGCCTGGAGTCCATCCATAAAGTTTGATGCTGCTAGAATTGGCAACATTATTGCTACATATCTCACGACTTCCACTTCATTGCTGTAAGCGTATCCCAAGATGTTACGGATCAATATTAGAACTAGTCCAACCAAAATGCCCTCAGTGATGGTCATGCATAAGACGACACAAACTGCCAATCGTGCAGTTTTTGGATGTCCAGCCCCCAATTCATTTGAGACCCGAGTGCTGCGTAGGAAAATACAACTATCAGAAGGTAAGAGTGATAATTGAGTTGAGTTTTGCGAGTTTGAGCCGAACCCAAGCCTGTCGAGCTCGTATTTGTAAACGAGCCTAAAAAATTGTTCAAACTTTGACTTGTTTAAAGATGAGCCCGAGCCCGAACCAAACCAAACACAAGCTTAACTATTTCACATATAAACAAGTCGGGCCTTTTAGGCTCGTTTTTCTAAACGAGTCTAAAATTTTTTTTAAGCTTAACTCGTTTAGAACATGAGCCGAGTCCTATCCGAGCCTAACCCGAGTAGCTCATCTCGATTAACACTCCTATCAGAAGGTACAAATATAGCCATGGAAACACAGACATTGTTTTTCCAGCATATAAATATAGTCGTGGGAATCAAAGATGGTTACATTCTAACTCCAATAGAAAAATTTATTGTCTCAAGAAAATTCCAGTCCAGAAAGTTCTAGCACTTTTGGTTCATAAAATCGAGTTCGAGAAACAAAACAAGTAATAATCTGGTATAACATTCATGGAAAATTTTGGGAGCAACTCTAGATCATATTTAACACCCAAATGTTTGAAATGAAAAACACAAGTATTTTTTAGGATAAATGCAAGGTGGTTAAGGGTTTATGAAATCACATCCATTTCTTAGTTTCTTTATGGGGCATCGAACTCTAAGGAGTTTGAAAACATGCTCCCTTACGGCATTTTGGAGAGTTGGCCTGCTGTTTGTGGTTGTTAAAATAGTCGTAAGTTTATGCTTTTTGTCTATGTAGGACTTCTATGTGTCTTTTGCAATAGGATTGGACTACTTGTCCACCTTTCCTCTCATTTTGTACTACATCTTTCTTATTATTAATAAAATCTTTGTTTTGAATCAAAAAAGGAAAAAAGAAAAAAGGAATGGTATCTATATTACTGACCTTACAGCCGCACTGAGCCCAGAGGGGATCATCCAAACAGTTGCAGCTGTATTAAGGCTGGGAATAGAAAAGTTAATATCGTCAATGGGAAGCAACATATATTCAAGAAATCACTTATTCTCAGAAGTATATACCAAAAGAAATAAAAAATACCAAGGCTTGACCTGATTGAAAGCACTGAGGTCTCCATCTCTGGATTAGGAAGAAGACCAGAAAGTAGAACCATCATCTCAAAAGACCACATTTCCAAACTGTTCATATTAATGGTAACAAACTGCATTAACTAAAAACTGGAAAACAGTATGTTTATGCCTGGTTCGATTAGTAACAGAAAAATTAACACATGAGAAATTTTATAGGAAAACCAATGTTGGGGCTGGAGCATTGTTTAACTCGAAACATATGAATTTCGATACTCATTGATTTGTTTTGGTTTCCAAACCAAAATATTTTGGTTTTTTTGGTGGAAACAAAATGAAATCTTCATCTTTGGCAATAAGAAGTAGGAGCTTACCAGACCATAACAGCTGAAGGGATTGCAAGTTTGATGAAAGTGACAATATCATGCAATGCTTCCTTTGAAAATCCGGCCCAAGTTTCTGAACACGAAGAAGAGTATCTGACATAGAGTGCCAACAACACCACATTTATCCAATATGATATAGAATTAGCCAAGGCAGCTCCTCTGCTGCCAAGGCCGGACTTGAACACCAGGATCCAACATACAAGGAGGTGGAGTAAAGTGGTGACTCCAGAGATTAGCATCATTGGATAGACATTGTTTTGGGTTTGTAAGAATCTATTGAGACACTGAAGAAGTCCATAAGCAGAAAGGCACGGAATCATGTAACGGGCATAAAGACCTGCTTCTTCTGATATTTCGGGATTTTGGCCCAAGGTTTTCAGAATGACACTAGTGTTTGCTGAGATGATTGCAAGAGGTATGCTTACTAGCAGAAGAATAAACATTGCCCTCTGCATGTGTATGCCAAGCATACAGTACTGCTTTGCTCCATAGGATTGACCGCAAAACGTGTCCAATGCACTTGCCATTCCCATCTACCCAAACAGAGAGGTTGAAAACCACAAGGAATTTATATTCAGTCTATTTGAAAAAATGTCCTAGCTTAAAAAACACTTATCCAATTATAAAAGTAAAAAATTATGAAAATGATTGAAGGCCAACTAAATCTATCAATTAAGTTCTCTTTTAGTTTTCCGTTATTGAGAAGACATAAAAGAGTTAAGAAATAAACCTTACTTATGAACTAAATCTATCAATTAAGTACTATCTTATGAACAGTATCTGACAAGAAATAAACCTATCTATCAACTAAATCTATCAATTAAGTACTATCTTATGAACAGTATCTGACAAGAGATGACTTTAAGAATCAATGAAACAAACATCCATGTCGTTGAAATTCGAAAAAATTCATGTTAAAAGTTGTTTGAGAAAAAACCCAACTCACCAACAAGCTGAAACCTGTGACAGTAGCGAAGGAGGTGGCCATTGAAGCTCCAGAGAGAGCCAACTCTCCAAGATGGCCCACAAACATCACAGAGATCAGCTGTATACAGAACTGCAATATACCCACACTGATGAGTGGCCCTGCTAGCCATAGCTGCGTCTTTACTTCCTCCACAACCTCCTTCCTTTGAATACCTTTTTCAGTTATGTTCTTATTTCTGTCAAATCCATTTTCATCTTCTTCGGAGATATGAATCAGAGGTACACTTAGAGGAGATGGCTCCGGAGTTTCTCCCTCCATTTTCTTCCCTCTCTCTCCTCAGACCAGACAAAAGGAGTGGGGTTGGGGATGGGGAAAACAAATTGCAGCACTGCCACTGACGTTTTATACAGCAGTTTGCAAATGTTCTGCTGCCTAACATGCCCTTAAAATTTAAAACATAAGTAGGCATGAAACTTTTTTTGAGTTATTTATCAAAATATAGTTATTTTAAAATTTATATATTAAAATAAGGTATTTTTAAATTTAATTATCAGCCTATAACACTTTTTAAAAATAGAGACAAATAACTCCGTCTTTTATTTTTTATTTTTTAAAGTAGGAACATAAGGAAAGCATACTTAGTAAACAAGCTTTCCATGCTTTTTTCTGAAAATCGTGTTTAATAAACACGCTTTTATCGGGATTTAACACATTCTCTTCAAATTTTATTTATCACCTTTGATCTGCAAGAACTTCAGGAGTCAACACATGTCTGCATTGTGAGAGCTCTCAGGAGTCAACACATTCTCTTCAAGTTTTATTTATCACACCTTTGGTCTGCAACCTTCTGTACACCATCTTTGCCAACTATTTTTGTTCTTTTCCATATTATGTCTCTCTTTGTTCACATACATCAATATATTGATAGTTACAAAAGGAGAGGATCATCGGGTAGTAGGGAGATTTGAAGGAAAACCATCCTATTGTCTTTGTCGTTGGAGCTGCCACTCAGTTGTGAGTTTTAAAGGCTGTTTTTCTGTCCGTATGTTGCTGAAAATTCTGCAATAAGTTTCCCTTTTGTATCCCTTGATATTGCATTGGATTTTTTAATGAAATAAAGGTGTTTTCGGATTGTGTTGGTGTGATACCTGCAGCAGTACCGTTTTGTTCAACTTTCTGTTGTGATTTGTGTTAGTGATGTGAGACTATTGTTCCTCATACCCAACAAAATGGTGGAGGAGCAATTTAACATATTTGAAAAACCTTAATCAACTGACGTGCTATATTTTCTATTCCATTGCTTGAAGAGCTTGCCAACTGAAGTTGAATTGGATGGCGTTGAATTAGATTATTACCCACTTTTGTGTTGTGTGTGTATATAAAAGTAGTGTGTGTGTGTGTGTGTGTGTGTGTGTGTTTAGGGTGAGTGTGCAGGCTGTGAGTATATGTGTGTGTTAAAAACAGAGAGTGTGTGAGATCTGCAACAAGGGCTTTCTGAGAGACCAGAATCTTCAACTTCAACTTCAACTTCAACTTCACAGGAGAGGCCACAACCTTCCATGGAAGCCGAAACAAAGAAACAGCAAAGAGATCAAAAAGAAAAAGATGGCCTATGTGTGCTCTGAACCTACCTGTGTTCACCACCGTCCTTGTATGGCTCTTGGTGAGTTGGTGACCTTTCTGGAAACAAGAAACACAACTGCAGAAAACATGGGGAAAAGAAATGGGAGTGTGAAAAGGGTGTGGCCTTTGGGTTGACGGATACAAGGCTATTATCGGTATTTCCAATTAATGAGATAGTAGGTTCAATTGATTTCCCAAAAAAAAAAAAAATACAGGGGTATAAATATAAATTAGATAAATGACAGGAGGGTAGACGAGGAACGACCCCAAATAAAACATGAAGAAAGTAGAGATTGGGTCAAATTTGTCTATCGATGTTCAAAAGAAAAGGCAAACGTCAGAAAAATCAATTTTGACACAGACGTCTAGGCTAGTGGCATTGATGAAGTGACCGACCACAGTAACAATATGTGGAATGTTTGCAGAATATTGGTATGAATTATTGAATTCTATGGACAGACAGCCAGCCAGCCAGCCTGTACATCCTGTCTTGTTTTCAATATAAAAACAACTGATTCCTGACTTCTTAACGCCGTTCAGTACTTATGACTACCTAAATTAACTCGTAGTCGTTGGGTTGGGGCTAATATAAAAATAAAAATATTATTTAAATTTAATTTATTAATTTTATGTATTATAATTATTAAATTAATTGCAAAAAATATAGAATCTTGTCTTATCGAGAAAAAGAGGGGAAAAGAACTAACGTAAGGTTAAAAGGTACGAGGATACAAAATTGAATAAATTCTGCCACACCAGTTTGTCTGTAGATGCTCTCATTATATTAGAATAAATGATTTACAATTTTACATGGGAAGTCTCCAGATCCTATATTGTTGGCGACACTGTTGAATTTTTTTATTTTTTTTTTGTTTTGAACAAAAAGAAATGAAAAAATACGACCCTTTGGGATGAAGTTTCGATGGGTTGTTCGTCTTTTGCTGCACCTATGTTTTTTTAAAGATAAGGCAAAACAGAGATAAGATTTAGACAACTCAAAGCCAAGGATCTTTTGCGGCATGTTTGTTTTCGTCGTATATAATAATACGTTATGTATTTATATAAATATGTATATATTTATCACATACCTATCTAATGATTTATATTTTTAGAGAAGATTAATATACTTATCTGGCGATTTGCGTTTATGAAGAATATGGTACATTATGATGACGTACCTTTTTAGAATAAATGTTTAAATTAGATGATGACATTGTCTCTATTCTTTGTAATTTTATAGGACGTTAGTTATGTCCATTACTTTAATTTTTTAATATGGATCTAATCCAAAAAGAAATTGGTGAGTATTTTTTATTTTTTTTTGAGTCTTATTAGGCCTTGGGACTGGCCTCCAAAACACTCTAAATTTAATTCATTTATTTTTCATTAGAGATCACCTTCCATGAATTCAAGTAAGATCTATTTTATACAAATGAGTCGCTCACTAATACATGACAGGTGATCTACCAAAGAAAAATAGAAGAAAAAAGTAATGTAAACTTGTAAAGGATATACATCCCAATCAGTGGGCATATTTGGAGCTAGCTTCAATAAGTACTTTTAAAAGTTTTAAAGTAAAATAAGTTAGATTCCTTTAGATCTTGGTTTTTTTACCAGTTTGTATGACAACTTTTTGAATCCAAAAAGACTTATTTAGGATGATTCAAAAAATTGATTTTATGAGCTTTTTCTTTTGGCTATTTGGAGTTTTGTCCTGGGTCCCACATAATTTGTTAGTTTATTACATTTATAAAATATTATTAGTTGACGTAAAAAATTTGAAATTCATATTTGCGAACTGTTATGCATAATCTATATATACATATAACTATTTTCTTTATTTTGACAAAAAAAATCCAAAAAAGTTAGAAAATTACTTAAAAAGGATTTTTCAACTTTTTAAAGAACGTTTCAAACGATTTTGAAGAATTTTTTAAACTCTGATTTTTTGCGAATTTTTTTAAACTGCAATTTTTTACTTAAAAAAGGAAACTCTAAATAGGACCAATATCGTGTTCACAATTTATATTAGTAGATAATTAGGCTAAAGTCCCTTTTTTTTGTGTGTAAATTAGTTTTACCCATTTTGCTCTCATCCAGTTTGGTCTCTCACTGACAACGATGCGGAGAAGAAAGAATGGAACTGAAGCAAATATAGCCATAGGTCCAACACTAATGATCAAACCCCTTTATCTTCTTTATTCAATAGTTTGTTCGCCAAGGATGTGAAAATTAGTCAAAATAATAATATTAAAAGAAATCACAATAGACTTAAAGACGACCTCGATGATCTCAATGATGACGAGGTAGTCGACGATGATGGAGGATTGGATGGCATTTTTTCAAAATAGTCCTTCAAAGGAGAAGATGGTTGCAATGATATAGATGAATGGGATATTAGATCTTCAATAAGCTTGGATTGTACGCTCCATAATGACATATAATGGCGTATATATAGTCTCTTCTCAATTAAATATTTATATATTTATCTCGTAAATATATATATTTATATAATGTACCTGAATAATCGTATATGGTGTTCATCGTATGTGATACATTATATACCTATATAAACACGTATACATTTATTGCGTACTTGTCTCATTATTTGTGTACCCGTTTAAAGATTTGTGTTTATGGAGAATATTAGTGTACCTGTTTGGCGATTATTGCGTACTTGTTGTGTTTCTGTCTAATGATTAGTATATCTATCTGATGATTTGTGTTCATTAAGAAGAAGGTACATTATGATGACGTAGTTTTCTAAAATAGATGTTCAAATTAGGTAATGTCATTGTCTTTATTTTTTAAAATTTTAAACGGCGTTAGTTATGTTAATTGATTTGATTTTTCAATAGAAATCTAATTCAAAAAAAAATTAGCGATTGAGATTTTTTTGAAATCCTATTGGGCTTAGGTATTAGCCTTAAAAAAACTCTTATATTAGAGGGTAAATGTATATGGGGTGACAAAAAACTTTCTTTTATAAATATAAACAATTAGAGTAATACTATTTAAATGTAAAAATATAACTTAATTTATTGACATAATAATGTGGTTTCATAAAAATTATTAGATCAACATCAAATTTAAATATTTAATAAGGCCTACAGTCAATTCAAGGGTCACGCCGAATTAATCATGTTAGATCTCCTAACACTAATTAACCAATTTATTATTGTGTTGTATTCGGATGCCCAATATAACCAATTAATAAAATCTTAAAGCTTTAGAGCATCTTCAAGCATGACTTAAATTTAATTAACATTTGAGTAAAAAGTTTGATTTGATATAAAGAATTTCAATGGATAAACTCAAATTTAAAAAAAGAGATACTTAAATTTAAATGAGGGCAAACCCAAATTTAAAAGGGAATAAGGATGACCATTAAATCTTTAAAGATGATGAAATCTCACTATTAAAGATTTAAGTAAAGATTTGAGTCTCTTTTGATTTGAATAAAAAAATGAGTTTCTCTTGATTTGATATAAGTTTGAGTCAAGGGTTAGAACAAACTTTTTAGACTTTTTTACTCAAATTTAAATTTGAGTCTAAATTTAAGTAAGGATTGGAGATACCCTTATATTGCATTAATTCTCAACAATATCTACCATCTATAGTTTTTTGGGAGATTGGGTGAGAGCTTCACACGTATGTATTGTTTTGGTTTTAAGTCTAATCTCAACACTTTTAAGGCCAAAAGTCTATAAAATTAATTTTTGACAAAAATATTTTCAGGGCTCGTTTGGTTGTCATATTAAAAATAGATGGATTGAATAAATAAATTCAATCTAATACAATATAGATGGACAAAAGATTATATTAAATAAGGTATTAGAATAATACGTAATTTTATCTAGTGTTTGACAATACACAACATAAACGTTGGATGGTAGTATAGATTACCACTATAATCATCATCCCACCGCCACCGTCACCACTACCATTGCCCACTACTACTCACCACCACTATGATCACCAATCACCACCACCTCACAACAACCCACCACCATCGTCCAACACCAACCACAACTACTCACTGCCACAATTGTCGTGCACCATCACCACTACTCCAACTACCACCTACAGACTTTGCCGACCACCACCATCATCCAATACCACCACCAACCACCACTACCCCTTACCTTCACCCACTATCGCTACCCATTAGTGTTAACCACCAAAATCCAAAACCCACTACTACAACCCACCCCCCCACCCCTATACATTGTTGTCAACCACCACCACACATTGTCGCCACCAACCACCATCACCCACTATCGCTACCCATTGCCACCAATCACCATAACCAAAAATCCAGCACCACCGCTCACCACCACAACCCACCTCCACCACTATAACCCACCACCACCATCGCTACCACCGACGTCGCCCACCACCACAACCACTAAAATAGTGAAAAACTAGTAAACTAAAAAATATTGAAAAAATATAAACAGTAAACTTTAATATAATGAAATTCTTAGTTCACAAAACAGTGAAAAAATAGTCTATCACCCACTATCATCACCAATCATCAACACCCACCATCACCATCTTAAAAAGTAAAAAATTAGCCCACCATCTACCATTGTCACCAATCACCTCTATCCACTATTCAAAACAGTGAAAAACTAAGCCGCCACCACCACCCACCATCTCAGTCAACCACCTCTACCTCGCCATTTAAAACTGTGAAAAACTCTTAGTTTATCTTACTTACTTAATGTTGAAATATGCAAAATTTGAACTCAAAATTAGTGAAAATGATAAACTCAAAAATAATGAAAAATTAATGACCTAAAAAATAGTGAATTCAAAAACAATGAAAAATTATTAAACTAAAAAATAGTGAAAAATTAGTGAATACCAAAACAGTGAAAAAATTACTAAATTCAAAAATAATGAAAATTACTGATTTTAAAAATTATAAAAAATTACTGAACTAAAAAATAATGAAAAACAATGAGCTCAAAAATAGTAAAAAATGGTGTTAAAAAACAGTGAAAAATTACTAAATTAAAAAAAAGGTTGACTACAACATACTACTCCAAATTCAATCAAAACAATAAATGTGAAACAATGAAACTTATCTAATTTTAATGTTTAGGTCAATAAAATTTGAATTTATTTCTTTGTTGTATAGCATTAAAATTGGGACAAAATTTACATAATTTGCGTGTCATTAAAATATACAAAATTTTAAATAGTAAATTTTATCTAATATTAATGTCTCAGATAGTAAAAATGTTATTTTAATGACCATACAATAAAATAGTGAATTTCATCAAAAGCCTTATTAATTTACGAAGAATACCAATTTAATTGGAAGAAAAGAAAATTTGATTATGTTTATTCATACAAAATCAAAACTAGTAAATTAATTTTTAAACATACTATAAATACCAAACAACTGTATAAAATAATAAAGTGCTTAAAAAATGTCTTAAATTTCATTTTTTAACTTAAGAACAACAGAACTAAAATAAAAAAATTTCAATCTTGTTCAGATTGTCAAGAACTTTTTGGAATAAAATTTTAATCGATTTTTCTGATAATGTCACCTAAAATCAGCCTACACTGGTATACGATCAATGATATTTTTTATGGCCTTAATATATCACGTAGTCTTATGGTAAACGTGTTGCATCAAAGAGAGAGAAAGAGAGAGAGAAGGGGTTGTTTCGAAGAGTGATACAGGTGCATGCATCATTGTCTAAACAACTTAGCACCAAAAACCGCTGAAGAGCCACCGGACGGTATCGTTCCGGAGAACGGCGAACTGATAGCCAACGTTGCAGAGGAGCCGAATCCAAAGGAAAAGGACAGAGCAGAAATTGCTGAAGAAGCCGGAGCCGGAGACGTAGAAGATGACGATGGTGGTGGAAAATCAAAAGCAAGACATTGTGATTGATTAGCTGTTCTTCTCTCCAAATCCTGGGTTTATAATTTGCAGGTAGAAATTGGGGTTCTGTGTATGTTTCTGAGTGAAAGAAGAAAACAGTGAGAGAGAGAGAGAGAGAAGGAAGGACTGAACAACGCGAATGACTTTAAAGGGTGCGTTGGTTATTAAAAATAGACTAATCCCATGTACCGAAAAATATGATTAAGGTATTCGAGTTTTGGAGCCAATATTTTAGTTTAGTGATTCACTGCTACAGTTGGTTTGCAAGAGGAGTAACGAACGCATTAAGAATTTTTGGATTTCACCGGTGAGGATTTATCGGGCCGAAGGGTTGTTCCTTATTCTAACCTTTTTTTTAATTATCAAAAAAAAAAATGACCACAAAAATAGAATGTCTCAACTAGAAGACCCAAAAAAAAAAAAATCACATAAAATTATGACCAATTTTTGCTAATTTTTTAATACTGGAAAACCATTACGTAACCATAAAAGGCAAATACCCACTGTATTTTAAAATGGTTCCATCAATACTTGAAAGAATGACAAAATTAAATATTTTATTCATACAATATCACTCCAACATATGTTAAATTTGGTTTATTCAATTTTCATCTTAACATAACCCATTCATTATCCATGCTACAAAATTGTGTCTTTTTTCAATTCGTGTCGGGAACTAATAAAACTCGGAGGGAATCTCGCCTTACACTCGAAAGATTTAAGTTTTTTTATTTTATACTCTCAAAAATGAAATTTTTTATTTTATACACTTAATATATTAAAAGCGTCGCAATATAGTCATTTTGTCATTTTTCTATTAAAATCCACCTTATTGAAGTTGACAGAATGAGTAATGCTTAAGTAAAGATAGAAACACTTTTAATTTAGGGTGCAAGATAAAAAATTTAATAAAAATATAAAATAAAAATTCTGAAATCTTTCATGGTGTAAAGTGTAATTCTCCATAAAATTTTAATTCTTGTACAATAGAGCGGTTACATTACATTCTATCAGACACTCATCTCCAAAACAAGTAAAATGTTAAACAGATACAGATATGGTATTTTCTCTGCTTTTGTGATGATCATCAAAAGTAAAAATAGAAAGGAATACACAAAACTGATCAAATCTGGGGAGAAATTAAGGTGGTTTCAAAATGAATATTAATAGCCGGCATTTCATCCTTAATAAATGCAATATGGGTAAAAAATTACACTTACAACCCCCATGAAACAAAAATGGGATTCTGCCCATACGAGGGGGAAAGACCGTATCTGGTAAGAGTAATGCTATAAAATTTAAATAAAACTCAAAAAATTGAAATTCAAATGCATATTATTCATTGAATGAGTGAGTTTCATCAATTTTTTCAGTGGAATCTACTCATTTTACAGTCATTTAAAGATGATATGTGTTTGAATTTTAACTTTTGAGTTTCATTTGGGTTATGTAGCATTTTCTATATAGTAATATTGTGGATGTGGAACTCAAATAGATAGTTTAAAGGGTAATATGGAAAAATAAATAGTGTAGTGGAGAATATGAAGTGAGAAGCATAGTTGAAGGGTGTAATTGTAATGTTTTTTGAAACTGTGTAAATGTAATTTGGCCTATGACCAAACAGACATGGGTGTGTGTCTCAACAGTCAACGAGAAAGTTTCTTTCAAAAGTTTCAATCCAAATTAATTAAATATCCAAAATTAACAAAACTCTACGGAGATCGTGGGAAGCAGTCCTTGATAGAAAATACACGTAAACCTTCCCCATTTGTCACATAAAATCACACGCAAATCTTTTGTTCCCGCGTAGACTACTAGTTATCTTGAAGGGTTTAAAAAGGGCACTGATCATGTATTGTTTCTGAGCTTGAACAAAGAGTGTATTGGCATTTTAGTTGTTCTTTTTTTAGGTTCGGTGTCATACTTCTTAGACCAAAAATGGGGTACGAGACGATATTCGCCAGAAGTTTTAGTCGGCATGAGCAGCGAAAGTTGGGTTGTGGAGCGTTTATCAGTTGCTTGATCATTGCATATAGTTTTTTCACCGTTTTTAAACCTTGTCTCGGTCCTCTGCCCATTTGTAAGGCCTTGCATTTAATCGTTTTCAGTCATTAAAACATCATGTAATTCGAGAAATTATTTGTTGTTACATTACGTTGTAATGACAAGTTTTGCTTGAAATGTTTTGGATGAGAATTAAAAATGCCGCTCTTTAATTTGAATTAGCACTACCTTTTTTGGTACTTTGATTCCGATGCATCTCTTTATATCTCTCCGTTCTGCAGTAAATTATCGGGTGTCAATTGGCGTTGGCCTCAGAATGCTTTTGACAACAGAGAAAATAAGCAATCCCATGCAATTATGTGAGTATGATTGATACCAAAATGTGGCAATTTATAGGCTGACTGACTCAGTGGTTCAGGATCATGTCTTTACCTTCTTGTATCAGTCGGTTTGATGTTTGCTTTTTTTCTCTCTCTGTGTTTATCAGATTCCAAAAATCAGTCAATTGAGCCGATTTGCAACATTTCAGCACCAAGATCAGATCTTTGCCAGATGACAGGAGATATAAGAATTCATGGAAACTCATCCACCATTTTCATTGCTTCAACTCAACAGGACAATTTTGGGGGAAACTATTCGTGGTCGTGGACTATAAAGCCTTATGCCCGAAAAGGAGACAAAACCGCCATGGCCAAAGTTAGAAAGTTTACAGTTAAGGTGGGGAAAGTTTCCCAAGAAATCCTTAATTGCACTAGAAATCGGAATGTTCCCGCCATTGTTTTCTCCACAGCAGGATATATGGGAAATCATTTCCATGATTTTACAGATGTGTTGATTCCATTATTTTTAACTTCTCGAGAATTCAATGGCGAAGTACAGTTTCTTATAACCAACAAAAAGTCTTGGTGGATTCGAAAGTATGAAACAGTGCTTAAAAAGTTGTCCAGATATGAGATCATTGACATTGATAAAGAAGAGGGAGTCCTTTGTTTCCCAAGCATGATTGTTGGTCTTAAAACGCACAAAGAGTTGAGTATTGATCCTTCAAAGTCTCCATATTCCATGAAAGACTTCAAACGGTTCTTAAGAAGCTCCTACTCGTTAAAGAGAGAGACAGCGATCAAATTAAGGGACGGTGAAGGTAAGAAGCCGAGGCTTCTTATCATTTCAAGGAGAAGAACCCGGTCTTTCATGAACAAAGGTGAAATTGCCAGTTTGGCTCGAAGCTTGGGCTATGATGTGGTTGTAAAAGAAGCATACTCGAATTTATCGCAATTTTCAGAACTCGTCAACTCTTGTGATGTGATGATGGGAGTGCACGGGGCTGGCCTTACCAACATGGTTTTTCTTCCTGAAAATGCAGTTTTGATCCAAGTAGTACCATTGGGACGAATGGCGTGGCTGGCCAAAACCGACTTTGGAGAGCCTGCCAAGGATATGAACTTGAGATACTTGGAATATGAGATAAGAGAAGGAGAGAGCTCTTTAATACATCAATACCCTCTTGATCATCAAGTTTTGAGGGATCCATATTCCATTAGTAAAAAAGGATGGGATGCTTTTAGGGCTATATACATGGATAAGCAAGATGTAAAGATTGATATTAGCAGGTTTAGAAAAACTTTGCTAGAAGCCCTTAAACTTTTGCATATGTAGGGGCTTTTTTTATTTATTTATTGATAGAAGAGTACACAACATTATAAATTTTGAGCAATTCTTTCCTTTCCTTTCCTTCTTTATGGTGTTGATTATTCCTTTTCATTGGTGTGAAAATCTTTCTTAATTCGATTGCTCTAATTTTTTTCTCAATAAATCGCTTGTTATATTAAGGGTTTTAGAACTGTCTGTAATAAAAGCGTGCGATTTAGAGAGGGTAGGTGGATTGAGAGGTCAAACAAAGCCTCAATCTAACTTATAGGACACTTATTGGAGAATTCTGCTGATTGATAATCCCACCCTTCAGCTTACTAGGCCTGGTGTAGCAAGAGCTTGCGTTCAAGTTAATCTTCTAACAAAGAATCCAAAAAGGTTCTAGTTGGACATGGGAGGTACTAGTGGTAGGTGGCAGAAATTTTTATATGAGAAAAAAAGCTAGTATTGCTCTATATGTTTGAAGCAAGGACATGCGGCGGTAGAATGTAGAAGGAAAAAGAAAGAGGATGGAGACCATGAGGAAGTAATTAACGTAACTAAGTCAACAATGGAGAAGTTGCAAGAAATACCTTAACAAGATGTCAAAGGAAAGAAAGTGGTTCAGGAGCAGAAGAGAAAAGGTCAAATAAAAGAATTCAAGCAGAAAACAGGAGGGTTTAAAATTAGGGGCGCAACTCGGACATGTTGGTCAGTCAATTCCAATCTAATTCTAGATATATAATCTTCAATCTTAATCCTAATACTAACTCTACCTTGGGTTGAGGGACTCAACTCAAGCACTGCTCGAGTTTAATTCGGACGGGCTCGGGTTGAATTCGGATTAATGATTTCGAGTTACTTTACGAGTTTAATTCAAGTTGAATTCAGGTTGAGGCTAAAATAGACTTATTGTTCTAAATCTAATACATATATTACGTAATATTCACCTAAATTAACAACCAACAACTTCAATCAAGTTTTTAACATAAAAATCATAATATTAAGAACTCAATGTTTGAGATAATGTAACCACAATCATACAGAACAAAAATAAACACAATCAGAATCTTTGTACAAACATAGAGTTCACTGTTTAAATAGTGAGTGAGGGAGGTGCACAATAAAAACTTAGGAACAGATTAACCCTAAACTTAAAAAAGTATTTATATGGTTATGAATATTCGGGTTGAACCTGATTTTAATATTCAGGTTCAACCCGGGAATCCGAGGGGTCAACCCGAGATCCGTCCAAATTGAATTCGGGTTAAAATTTTTTAACCCAAGTTCAACTCAAGTATTAAAAACTCTAGTCCAAGCTCTAATTTTTTTGGATTGGCCTTGGGTTGAAATCGGATTAACCCGTCCAAGTTGCACCTCTAGTTAAAATCAATGAAAGCCAAAGTTTAAAGAAAAATGGTGCTGAGTTGAAGCAGATAGCTTCAGCAGCATCGGCTGCAAATTTTCAGAAGGGGAATCACTTGAGGAAAGAAGATAACAATTTTGGTTCTAATCCTGTAGCTCAGACAAATGATCTAGAAGATAACGGGGACAGGACAGGTAATTGTTAGTCCAGGTTGTGCAGGTCCAGTAGTTATGGAAGATGGTGGTGGGGGATAAGTATACAAATCAAACCCAAGAGGAAACCAACGTTATGGATAAATACAAATCATTTTTTTTTTCATTTTTTTCTCCCTGTTATGGATGAAACAAAAAACCAACGTTAAGAATACAAATCACTTTCCGGTAATTTCTCCATTTTTCTTGCTAACAACAAAAGAATTTTTTTTTTCTTTCTGGTGTTTTTCCGCGTTTACTTGCTAACAAAACGAAACCCAATGAGTAGTGGTAGTCTAGGGGGAGATGGAATTACCCTTATGCTCCGCTCGGTAGAAATGATAGAAAGTAAAAATAATTTATTTATTTTTCTTTGTGTTTGGTAGGATGAATGAAAAGTAGAAATGATTAAATTTTTTATATTTGATATTGATGAAAAAATAGAAAAATAGAAATAATATACATATATAATTTTCTATTTTATTCTTATACAAGATTAGTGTATATATTATACACCATGTCACTATAGTATATGATTCATGTGTTTTAACAAATGCAAATCACATAAAAATATATTTATTTTTTATTTAAAAAATAAAAAATATAGACACAGTGATAACACATAATATAATTCCACTTATTGGTATATGAGTTTGAGTTTAGGTATAAGTGTTTAATGTAAATAAGTAATTAGTTAAAAATTAAAAAAATAAATATTATATTTTTACCCAATGTGAGTGTTGTTTTTCTTATTTTTTTTTCTTAATTTTAGAAGAATTAATTTCGATAAATTAAAAAAAAATATCAAATATAATATTTTATCTATTCTTTCAACTTTCTATATTTTTTCAACTTTTCACCTTTCTATATTTTACATCGTACTAAATGAAACATTAGGACCAGATTGTCGTGAAATAAATTGTGCCATACACACCCACCCATAATGTAATAAAAAAAAAAAGGAAATTCGGTAAATTAAAGAATGCCACTGGATTTTCCATCGGATACCGGATGAACCCCTCGAGGCCACAGCGGTCCATCAAACTGTCAAAGTCTCTCTCTCCAAAAAATCTAAAACCCCTAAACCCCAAACACCAGTTCTAGCCACCAAGAGCAATAGACACAACCATGGCTTCAATGTCCATGGACATAGCCACCACTTTTCTCGGACTGTACAAACGACCGACGACTCTACTCTCCGGTGTCCGAACCACAGTCTTTCCTCTTCTATGGAAACCCCAACCTCAGTACCACTCCCACAGTTTTCGAACCTCGTCTTCGCTCCGTTCTAGAATTATCACCGCTGATTATTTGCCCAAATCAAAGCAACTCTCTCGCAGATTCACTGTGTCTGCGACGACCACGTCGACACCGCAAAGCGAAGATTCCGATGTTTTGACTAAGATTCCTCCCGATGATCGAATTCCAGCTACTATAATCACTGGTTTTTTAGGTTCCGGCAAGGTAATTTTATCAGTTCTTTAACATATTTCTATGTTAATTAAAGGGTTTAAGTTACATCCACAGCTCTTTTGGCCTTTTTGCTTAAGTCGCACAGTCATTGAAAAGAATGAAGGATAAAAGATAACGGTCTTTTGAAAATAAGGATACACTGTTAAGATTGTGTACGGAACATAAAGATTAAAGACTATGATTTAAAGCGGTCCTAATTCTATTAATTATGCGCTAATGTTTGTTGTTGTTGATGAGAGCATCATTTGGTGTCACGCATTTCTACTGTGATTTTGTGAATAAAGATTGGTTTTTCCCACTAAATTTATATGGTGTACACACACTATTAGTCGAGATTTAGTGACTTCATTTGTTGAAGTCGAAATAAAACTCCATTGTCCAATCTATGGATTACAAACACCAATATGAGATATGGATAGAATGGAATACAATAGAACTTCACAAAGGATACAAATATGGGGAGGATATGATAACAAATATTGAAATTTTTATATAGTTTAAAGTTTGTGTGTTATATAATACAAGCTAATCCTGAGGAATCACAAGTATCTAGTTGAAAGTCAGTTATTTTGGTACAAAAAAAACATGTTTTATGTGGAAGGAGAATATATGAAATATATTAAACAAATCCATGAATCCTAAATGGCCCAACAATGAAATATATTTTGTCATTCATGCATTTCATTTGATAGCTCATGTAAAACATTAAAAAAATTACATTTCACCTATGATCTTCAAGTCCCTATTCTAGCTTTTGCTTCCTAATGTTTTAAATTTGAGGGCAGTGACATGGTAAAAGGGGTGCATGTTATAGCTTGCTTTATAGATCTACCATTTTGAGGGCTAATATTATACTTTTTCTTTGACTAGAATTCCCATATTTTTGTTTTGAAAAATATAATTATTTTATTTACTTGAATGTCTTCATTTTTATATTTAGCCCAGCCAAAATCCCCATGTATCCAGCACATATTGGCCACGCATCATCCTCAATGCATTCTAGACAAATTTTGAATTTTATGAAAACAATGGGCCTAAGCAACTTGTATGAGACTATATTCATCGGTTATCCATATCCAATTCCTGTGGTGGAGCATTTGTAATTCGTGGATTCCATCACTTGCTTGATTATCTGGTACTAAGAGATGAATTAGCTTATTCTTTGCAGCTCAAGCTTAGAATTATAGCTCCAAAACCTGGGTTACATTTTACATTTTCCCTTCTTTGGATGCCATTTTCCCAAAAGGGGGTGGGAATATTGGCATCTTTCATACTAGGTTGTGCAAAATTTTCAGAAATGTAGCCTTCTAATATACAATAACTATGAGAACAATGTCATGTGATCGCACGGATACAATGATTCTCCTATTTTTGTTGGAAAATAGGTAAGCGGTAAAAAGTTTAATTGACATGTTACTTGATTTATTGTTCAGACAACTTTATTAAACCACATCTTGACTGCTGATCATGGGAAGCGCATTGCAGTTATTGAGAATGAGGTATGAGGTTGAAGTACTGTTGTTTTGTGAGGTGACAGCTCAAGTGGAAAATGTTAATTCTTTTTATTATTTCTAAATATTTTATCATTCTGACTTTATGTTTTTCACTGTATAATTTCCTGTTGATTTGTTGGTTTGGCAGTATGGTGAAGTAGATATCGATGGTTCCTTAGTTGCTGCAAAATCTGTAGGGGCTGAGGACATCATTATGCTTAACAATGGGTGTCTATGTTGCACAGTGAGGGGTGATCTTGTCAGGATGATTGCCGAACTAGTCAATAAGAAGAAAGGGAACTTTGATCATATCGTAATAGAGACTACAGGTAGGGAAATTTTTCTAATAGTGCAAACTATCTGCTGTTGAAAATTTTCAAAATAAATGTTGTAAGGATTGCACATTATTAAAGGATTGTAAGTTTAAGCATTTGATTGTCATAGTTGTTTTTCTTTCATACTGAACTACATTAGTTCTTTTTGCAAATTTGCAGGATTAGCAAATCCATCGCCAATCATTCAGACCTTTTATGCAGAGGATCAAGTTTTTAATGATGTTAAACTGGATGGTGTAGTGACTTTGGTTGATGCCAAACATGCTAGTTTTCATCTGGACGAGGTTAAGCCCAAAGGAGTAGTCAATGAGGCTGTGGAGCAAATTGCTTATGCTGACCGTATTATAGTAAACAAGGTGCATTGCTGTAATTTTTTCTTCTGTATGGTCAGTACTCTATTTTTGTTTGGGTTTTTTTTACTACCTATCTATCTACACTATCTTTGGTCTTATTGAAATTTAAAATATTCGGTATTGAGCATATCTAGCATTTGAAGAAAACATTGGTCCAATTGAGTTAAAGTTGCAGGTCTTTCTTACGGTTTCTTTAATGTATTTTTTATATCGGGAAATAATTGAATGTTATTTTGATTTTGAGCATGTGATAGTTGTTTAAACTTATACTAGATCTCTTAGAAGTATAAGCTGAAATGTTAGGAATTGTGAAAGTCCAAGCCCAATCTATTCTATTATTTGGTTTTAATTCCTTACTCGATAACCACCTGCTGCAACCACATAGATATCTAGAATTCTTGACAGACTGTGCCTCAATGTATTTTTTTCATTTGATTTTGTTTGGGAGCCTTTTGTGCTTGTGGCGATGTTGACCAGTTGAAGGTTGGACCTCCTTCTAGAGCAAGTCATGGGAGGTTGTAGGATGGAAACTTTTGCGTTGATATGATATTTGTTGCTCTAAATTCTTGCTAAGTTTTTCTTCTATGTTGCTGCTAGACTGATCTTGTTGGTGAGCCAGCAATTGCTTCTTTGATTCAGCGAATAAGGGTAGGTATCCTGGCATATTGCTTCTTTTAACATGCCTTTCAATTTTGTTGGGTTCCAGTTTTCATATCGAGTTTCTCTTTTAAACTCTGGTGTGGTGGGTCACAGATCATAAATCGAATGGCTCATCTAAAGCGCACAGAGTTTGGAAAAGTTGATTTGGATTACGTTCTTGGGATTGGAGGTTTTGACTTGGAAAGGTTTTTCCTTTTTTATCTTGTCGTAGTTGAGTTCATGTTTTTTTACTTTCTTTGCCTGTATTCCCTATTCTTGGTTCTCACTAGCACCTAATGTTATTTTTTGAAAATTACTACTACTAATCTAAGCTTTCATCAAGGGCTTGAAGAATTTTTCAGTTTGATCTTTAGTGCATACATTGAGTATATAGTCTACTTTTCTGTGCTTTGTCGAATCTCAATGCTATAGCGCTGGTAAAAATGAATGGAATCAGGTCTTGCTGCCGAGGTACTTGTATGGTAATTCTTCGTCAGTTCACTTCACTTCCCTCAAATTACCTTTGACAAATTTCTCTAGGAGAATCCTTGCCATTCCTTACAATGCAAAAGGTATACTGGAAGAATCTTTGGAAGGGGAAACCCAGGGAACAACAAGCTTAATGAACTTTTTAAAAAAAAAAATCTTACATGAAATTTTGAAACCAAAACAAATCAGCTATTGAATATCGAAATTTGTATGTTTCAAGGTATTTTTGAATGTCTTGATGTCTTTCGGTGTGTTTCGATTAGTGTTTTAAAATATTTCGGAAACAAATTTTCAAAACTTTTTCTGTTTCCGTCATGTTTCCTTTTCCAAGTTGACTGAAATTATGCACCAAAACGAAATTTCAATCTTGGAGTGTAACAGGTGCTTTCATGCATCACAATATGCTCATGAGTTTAACTTTTGACAGTTGATTACGTTGATGTGCAGTTCAATCAGTTAGCACACTTAATTTACCTCCTTATATAGCGAGTGAGACGTCTACTCTAGATAATGATGTTTCCTTCATAATCACAATGCCCTGCTTTCTACTATGGTTTTATTTTCATTCTTAGCTCTTCGTTTTGAATTATTTTGTATAATTTCAATTTTATTTTATGAGTCTTTCCACATACTTTGTAGTTCGTTAACGCCCTCCAGTGTGGATCTTACTTTTAAACCTAAAGTGGTAATATGCTGGAAGCATCATATTTTTCTTTTTCTTTTGCTGGTTAGGTTTACATTCGTAATCGCTTTTGTATTGTATTTCTGAATAGACTTATATATGCTCTGGTCATGCTGGAATGCTTTCAATTTCACTGCATGGTGAGTTTGGCTCTATAGCTTATGTTTGTTGGACCCTTGCCAGAATTGAGAGTGCTGTCAATACTGAAGGTTCAAAAGATGATAATGCGACTGACGACCATGATCATGATCATGATCATGAACATGAACACAAACACGGTAACTCTATTTGATTTTCTTTTATTGCTTGTGGTGGAGGCATAGCGAGAATCGTGTATTTGCCTACCTGAACTTTTTTTGTTTACTTAGGCTGCATTTTATCAAATAGAATGTGTTGCTCATACTTGTTAGTATGGATGATCAGTGGCTCCTTTGCTTCTGTCAGCATCAAATCTAGCTGAATTTCTTGAGGAGAAACAATAGCAGTTCTAGCAATTATAATTTGCTGTTTCCTTATCCTCTTAATTCAAAGGCCCATGTTTTTCATTTTCACTGATATGTAGTGGAAAATTCTTTGCCTTGTATCAAAAGTGGAGATATGATTGTACTCACTGAAAAATGCCACAGTGAAAATTGGATACTCTTACGGTCTTACTACAAAATGCTCATGAGTTTAAGTTAGCATATCCATTTTGCCTGTTCATCTCTCTCTCTCTCTCTCTCTCTTTCTCTCTCTTTCTCTCGCTCTCTCTCATGTGTGCATGCAATTGTGATTTTGTATCTACTTCTCCTTGTTTTTAGAGCTTTCTGCATGTAGCATTTGCATGCTTATTGCACAAGGCAAATCAAATGTTACTGTAATTCTGGTATTCGGTTTGCAACATTAATGTACCAGATGCTATTGCTTTTCTAATTGTACTAATGGGCCAATTGAATATTACTGTCTTGAATGCTGATGCAGAACATCATGATGGTCACCATTCCCATGACCATTCTCACGATCCTGGTGTTTCGTCAGTCAGCATAGTTTGTGAAGGGAGTTTAGATCTTGAGAAGGTAGGTTTTAGTTTATGGTTTTTGCATATGGTTTACTTGAAAGATTTAAGTCATAATTGCGTCTAGGACTTCAAAAATCTTCTTTTTTAGTTCGAATAGTTTATTTGTTTGGAATAGATAGAAAGTCAGCTTCAGTTCACTCGCAAGGTTTTTGTCTTATCTTAGGCAAACATGTGGCTGGGTACATTGTTGTTGGAAAGGAGTGAAGACATATATAGGCTGAAAGGTATTCTCTCCGTTGAAGGAATGGATGAGAGATTTGTCTTTCAGGTGCATGAACCCTCTCCAATGTATAACTTATCCAGCTGATTTATTTTCTTCATACTGTTTACTCTTTGACTGCTAATGCCTGATCTTTTGGCAGCGTAAGGGTTCATTTGATTAGAATGAAAATAATGCTAAAAAGTGAAAATGATGGAAAGTAAAGTGAATTGAAATTGTATTTTCCTTCATGTATTTGTTTTGAATGAAAGTTAGATAGGAAAGTTAAGAAATTTTTTCTAATTGTCTATAAATTACCTTGCCTATTTCTAATATAAATGAGATATCTAGAATTTATTAATTAACTAAAAACAATACATCTGAACAACAAATTGGTGCCTTCAATTTTGTTTTTACCATCACAAGCATCGTCTGATCGTCACCTAGAATGTATAACTTCGGTTTCCAATTGAAGTTAAATTCTCATTTATCAACCCACCCGCCAAAATTAAAAATGTCAATTGTAATTCAAAGTATCTCTTTGCATAACCTTAACATTTTCGTAGACCTATTGAGTAGAGAAATATTGGGAGTTTAAACCGGTTGAAAATTAAGGAGTCCTCTTGTGGAGATCATGGGCAATGTAGGAAGAGGGAGTTAATGGTTGTCAACCTTCACGGAAAAATACCATTTTCCTATGCACGTTTCAAGAAATTGGAAGCCATGTTTGCATGCAATATGGGGTCATACGGGAATCTTGACTTTCTTGTATTTTCCAGCACCTTCCTCCTAAATAAACACTAAAAACTTTTTTTTTTTTTTCACTTTCCACCATTTTCTATATTCTCTTGCTAAACAAGTGGACCTTAGGGTCCATTTAGCGGGAGAATGGTAGAAAATGCAAGAAAGAGAAATTTTTAAAAAATTTTATGTATTTGGTCAGCATGAAATGGAAAATGATGGAAAAAATAATTTTCTTTCATACTTGAATTTTCTCACAACTAACCAACTCTTTTTTCTTGTAAAAAACGGAAGGAAATTCAAGAAATTTGTGATTTATATCTAATTTTTTATTTTACCCTTATTTTTCTTAAAATATTTTATTGGTTATTAATTTAAAAAAAAAAAGGTATGAATTTCATTAATTATATAATTTGGTCCAAAGACCTTCGTGCCGGTACTTGTTATAGAATTAGGTTACTAGCTGCTTATTTAAAATTTTTTAACTTTCAATTATAATACATATTTTTTTCTTCTTTAAGCTGATTTAATATAATTAAGGATAATTTAGATAATTAGAAAAATTTTATTGTAATTTTACTTTCTTTCAAACAATAGAATAAAATTTTTTTAAAACTTTATTGCAATTTTTTCATCCAAATCAAATACATGCATGAAAATATATTTTCTATCATTTTCTTATCTTTCACTTCACTTTTTATCATTTTCATTTTTCATTGTTCTTTTCTTCCTAACCAAATGGACCCTTAATGAAAAAATTTGCTTCTAATTTAAAGTTGATTAAATACCTGTTAGTACCTATATTCAGTTTATTGTTACGTGGATTCATGTTATATCTTTTGAAGAGCTATGAACCATTTCATGTATGCATACCATTTCATTTACTTTTTGAGTGACAGGCCTTTTAAGACTAGGGGTGATAATTGAGCAGAGCCTTTCGAGCTTCAGTATGCTCATGTTCGGCACAAAGCGTCGAAAGAAATTTCAAGCTCGACTTGAATATCAAGTTCAAATTGTTGTTCAAGCACAGACCGAGCCTTAAACGAGTTTAAAAAATAAATCTAATATCCAGAAATTCAAAATCCAAAAATCTTAGAATCCTAACAACTGATGTGAGAAAAAACATCATAAAACCCTAAATCACTAAAAAAGTTTATTTTTTCGTTTCCACCATTTTCTATATTTTCTTGTTAAACATATGGATCCTAATGTGCATCTAATTTAAAATTGATTAAATACTGGGCATCTCCAATGTTGACTCAAATTCAAGTAAAAATCTTGATTTGGTATATGGACTTCTCTGGTGGATAAAACTAAATTTATATTCAAATCTTTTTAAAAATTTCTCATATTGTCCCAAGAGCTCATTTCTTTAAATTTTTTCCTCGAAAACATTTTCCACTCTTCTCTTTTCTCTATTTCTTTAACTACAATTCTACATACACAGCAGTGATGCATGACCATCAGACTAGGAACAGTGACGCTTCTGTTGGACCGAAGCGTTTACCATTGCACCAAAACCAGCAAGTGTTAGTGAAGGCACAACTTCCTTCTTTTAACTAGCATAGCAACAAGAGCTCACAGGTCAGGTTGGTTAAACCCACCACCAAGTCTCAGGGAGACTTATTGCACCTCTACCCAGGTCAACAACTTCATCCATTCTACACACACAACGGAGACCAGGATGTTATGAATGATAGCAAGCCAATCAACTATTTGGATACGCACACAAGGAGCAGATCTGGCTTCAACGTGCCAAACACGAACAACTTGGTTCATTTACCTGCCCTACTTAAGACATTGTAATAGGAATCTTACCAAACCCAAGCTATTCTAAACCCATTAAAGTCTTGTTTCAAACCTTGGCGGGGACAAAGTTAATTTTAGGCTTTCTTTAGTTTATCTGAGCCATATCATTTGTGATTTTAGTTATCTGTGTTCTAAACTTTCCTACATGTTCTGGCTTTAGCTTTCCTTACTATCCTTGTGGGTCTGTGATCTTGACCATTATTACCTTTTATTAATCAAGTCTTGTTGAATAGTAGAAATAAATTCTAATGCGTGTTTGTCTGTTACATGTTTGTCTTGTGTAACAGGGAGTGCATGACATATTCCAAGGATCACCTGATCGGTTGTGGGGCCCGAATGAACCAAAGATAAACAAGATTGTGTTCATAGGGAAGAACTTGGATGGCCAAGAATTAGAAAAAGGTTTTAAGGCCTGTTTACTGTGATTCCTATGATTTGTCTGTGGATTCTTATGGATGATAACAAATAAAATGACTTTTTACTTAAATCTGCTGGGATTCTTGTGGATATCAGTGTTTTGTTGGGATGATTGTTAATGGCATCTTATCAACTAAATAGTATCCTGGTCAAGTTGAAATTTGATCTCAAATTGGTGCTGGTACTTGAATCAGCCGGACTATTAATACTATGTACCAAATAGCCAAGAGAAATGTGGGATTCATTACCTTTTTTTAGTATTATTGATATGAAAAAGATAAGTCAAAGCTTATTGGGTAATTGCAGTGAATTGTGGGCGGGTCTATTCCATTGATCTGTTGCTAGGGTGAGGTCACATAATGAAAATTTAGATCCTTATGGTATATTCCGTCATCAATTGAAGTGAAACTCACGAGAGTCCTCCACAAATACATAGAAAACAGTAATTTATTTGATGGAAATTGAGTGAAAACGGACACTGAAGATGAGAAGAGAATTAGATGCATATGATGATTTCATTCAAAGCCTAGGCTAAGCTTCATATCAGTTGGGCATCTTCAATTAAAGACCATTACTTTGAGATTGAAATGAATGCAGCCAAAAGCAGCCACCCACTTGGAAATGAAGGCTTCTGCGTTAAGCAAACTCAGAACATAGCACCAAAACAAACCGCCTTGTTCATATTGCTTGAGCTTCTCAATTTAGAGCCGAAATTGTATACCAACTATAATGAGTGAGGACAAATCATCCAGTTAATCTGACTTTGTCATCAGCCCCAGTTACCCCCTCGCTCTCTCTCTCTCTTTTCAGGGGCGGCCCAAGCTAATTTGGGACCTTAGGCAAAAATGTTATACGAGGTCGTATAAATATTTATTCAGTAATAATAGTAATATTAAAAACTTATTAACATATGTTTATTTACAAATTATTTATTTTGTCTTTTGAGATATAACATACTAATTCAAATTTTACAAATAAAAATTGTGTTAATCGAAATCAAATACTAAGATCAAATACAATAATACATACTATTTGTTTAAGATAAAAGAGAAACATAATTGAAAATTAAGTTGACTAGTAAAATAAATTTTTTATAAATGTATATAAAATAAGAATTTATACAAATTGAGTAGTCCTAAAATAAATGAGATATTGTTATATATCATAGAGAAAAAGAGCAATTTTTAAATAAAAAATTTTAGTAAGACAACTATGGTTAATCAATCTAAGATAGCCAGTGTATTATTTCTACTCACTCTATTTTATAGTTATCTTGTGTATCTTAACCAAAATTATTAAAAAATTACCTCAAATTTAACTTATACAAATATAAAATTATTATTCGTACTTGTTATACGATAGACAACTGATTTTAATAAGAAGACAGCAAAGTGATAATATATATATAATATAAATATCGGGTGAGATAAAAAAATAAGCTGAACTTTAGGGCCCTAAATTTTTTTAAAAGAGGTTTTAAAAATTTTACAATAATGCTAGTTGCATTTAATTTGAGGATTAAGTACATTAGATAAATAGTAATTTTTGTTTAAACTTAAAATTCACTATTAATTCAATAATTAAAATATATTAAGTATTTAATTATATTCTAAAATAATCATTATTTATTTATTTTTGGGACCCAAAATTTTTCTTCCAATTTCGGGGCCTAGGCAATGGCCTAAGTGGCCTAAAGTTTGGGCCGGCACCGTCTCTCTTACAAGAGAAGTAAAGTAGCTGAAGGTCTTATAACAGGGTCACTTCTGTTTGGTCTCTGCAACTTTGTGAGGTAAGCAATAATCATTCACTTTCACTACCAACTTCTCCAACCAATTTCACAGCTTCCATATCATGTGCCACGCCTGGGAGAGATTTTACTACTAGTACCTGGTCAGTAATAATAATGAGAAGCAGTTATTCTGTATGTTTGTTAATTCTCTCTCTCTCTCTCTCTCTCTCTCCCCCGCCCCCCCTCAGTGTGAGTGTGTGTGTGTGTGGTTGTCTTTATGGCAGGGTTATTGGTGTTACAATGTATTTGGGCTATAATATTGTATGGCTGGAACTGGGAGTAACAGTTGGTACATGGTTATTGCTAGCTTCAGATTAATGAATGAGGAAGTATGGAAAACAACAAGTCAAGCAACAACGAACGGTCAGTGGATTGAAGGGTTTCGAGTACGAAACTTATGGCTGAAGCGTCATCACATAACTGTTCTGTACGAGAGGGTGGTCATGAAAGGAAGTTACTGTTCAATCGGCTTGATAAGAGACTGAGAATCCTTGAAGAAGAAATTGAAAACATGAAGCAAGATATTTTGGTGACTGTGGAAGACAGGACCAAGTTGATTACTGAGATATATGATCAGTTTCAGGCTATACATCATTTTATACACCTCAGAGATCAAGAAGAAGAGAAACCTTGTGATGAAGGTTTGACCATCATGCCTTCCAAGGTAATCAATCCCTCTTACTTGGGTTACTAGTCTTTCTTGTACACCAGTACAAACATTTTTAAAGGATTTTCAAAATAAAGTCTTTTGCGGATTTGTGTTTAATTTGTAAAGAACTCGTGTGTTTTGAAAAGGTCTGAAAAATGGGAAAAGTTTTGTGGGCATATAAAGGATAGTGGAGTAAGTACCTTTAGTATAAATGCTCCACTATGCACTATGGGTCAACCAACGTTGCGAAGTAATGTCCATATGGGGCGATGGGGGTGTTTTGATGGCGCACTTCGCACGTATGCTGGTACGAATCGGATTTGATTGGGTGCACAGGTGCGACGATCGAGTACGTCCATTACAAATGGGCAGATCGACGGTTGAGATTCAAAACAATGGAATTCAAATTAACAAAAATTTGAATTTGGCATCCATCGGCCAACAGACACTAGTGGTTTTGCAAATACAAAACCAACTCAGAAATTAAAAACACTTAGAATTCCATATTTCTCTCCTCCTTTTACATTGTTCTGTTCATTTTGTTTTGCTTTTGGAATTTTGAATTTGAATAAGTATTCCATTTTTTAGCTATGTAATTTTTTCGGTGGGTGTTTAAGTTTGTTTTCGTCAATACAAAAACACAAACAAGTCGGACTTTATTGTATGTTGAAAATAGATTTGTGGATTTCCTATTTGTACACCTTATTCAATATGGCGTGGGGCAAATACTATTTTTAAGGAAGTATTTCCATAAGACGTGAAGCAATAAAAGATTATCCATGAAGTTCAAGAGCTCCAGTTTCGTTCAACACCAAAAAAGAAGAAGAAGCAGATTTTTCTAACTTCTGAGTCATGCTGGCTTGTTCTATTTTTGTCTAGACACACTTTGGTTTTCAGTGACAATTCACAAGTATCTCATGTACCCAAGTTTAAAGACAAAAATGGTAGGTCAAAGAACAATTCCATGTAATATGTAGAGAATCGTAGTAGTTTCTAGGATGTCAAATATGGCAACTCAGTTTAAGCACACGTAAATAGGGGTTATGATTTTATTTATGCTATTATATCATTTGACGAGTTGCAATCTACTCTTTCTGGATTCTATCTAAATCGAGCTGAATTTTACGAGTTTGAATCTGAGTCTGGCGAACTTGTTTTTCTAAACAGGTCTAAAAAATTGTTTAAATTTGGTTCGTTTAGAACCCAAGCTGAGTTCGAGTAACTCGATTATTTTACGTACAAACGATCTGAACCTTTTTAAAATGAGTCTAAAAATTTTTTCGAACTCAACTCGTTCAAAGCTCGAGCCAAGTTTTATCTGAGTCGAACCCGAATAGCTCGTCTCAATTAACACTCCTAATTGGCCGAAGCTTATATGCATTCGGACTAACAACAAAATAGAGTGATGGATTTCATTTCAAGAAACTTATTATGGCCATCATTTTGACCTTCTCTACAGCCCATCACTTTAGAAACCATGTATTAACATATTGTAAACTAGTTTTGTGACCACTAACTTGATTGCCTATTCAAGTCTTAGGGTCATTAAACAAAGTTTCAAGCCTCATATATGGTTGGAACATAATGATTTGCTTCGTTGAAAACTAAGATTAAATGATCGACTATTAATAGCGAATATAAGTTTCAAATAAATAAACGAAGAATGAGACAAATTCAAGACTATAGATCAGATCATGGCTTAAAGTATCGGCTGATGCCGATACGAGTTGGCTGAGTCGTATCCGTCTCAGCACATTTGGAGACGATACTGTTACACGATATGTATAATCTTTGAGTCTCGCACAACTAGGTCAAGTTGTCTGAATCAATCCCGAGTCGCTGAATTGACCGATACGATTCTACGACACGGCGATATATCCTGAATTTCTCGCCATGTTCAATATTTTCTTCTAAATTGTTTCACTCGATACCGCACCGCGACGCCTCAACCAATATGTCTCAGAGCTCTCTGAGTTGATGGTCGATACCGCGACCTTGAACCAGGCTATAGATGGTGAGTTGACAACAAAAGTCTGATTAACTTGGTTTTAGTTGTTTGTATTAAACTTGAGTCAGTATTCCTTGCAATTGTCTTTGATCTTATTTTCAGTGTAACTGCTAATTATTTTCATATTGTAACTGGTTTGTTTGTATGTCCTAAATAGGTGGGAAGAACAGGAGCTGGTCTGTCACAAATCCTAAGCCAAGAATCAAATTCATCACTGGTCATTCGGGATCTAAGAGCTACTACACTAGTATTACAGCACCAAGCTCAAGTCGTTATCAAATAGGCGACTGCTTCCACTTTAGGGGTTTTATGCATCTCTTTTTATTGTTTTTGATTTGTTCTGTTTTGGCAATAGTTTGTTAGAATCATCCTAGACTCTGAGTGCTCTGCTGCTATTAAGAGATGTTGCTAGTGGAGGCAATGTATACATCATTTTCTTTCTTTTATTGAGAGGAAAAAAAAAAAAAGACCACCTTGATAGGCCCTTACTAGTGAGATCATGAGGCTCCTAACCGTGCCCATTACTCCTCTCGGGAACGAACCAACCACCGAGTCAACTTTGCACAATTCCCTCAAAATAAGACACAACATTTTAGATATTTGATCAGAAATGTTTCCATCTTATATTTATGAACAATGAAAGATACACAATTCAAATTTCCACCCTTAACGCCTGATCCAAAGTAATCTGTCTTGGGCTAACGATTAGCAGCATCCATAAGTAAAAACATACAACCTTTACTTGTATCAATTACTGCAGAATTCGACCTTCATGGAAAAACATCCATTTGAGGGCTTCCTTTGATCTGGTGGAGCCCTAACCCTGCACACATAAGTTTAGATTGTGCAAGGGAGACAAATAAAGGGACAAAGAGAGGGAGACAGATTTAAATTGAAACCAAAAAAGTTTCGAGATATAACCTTATGTATAAAATTTCAAAGACAAGGGTGCTAGATGTTTTTACATTCTGCATTCACTTTCTTTATTGATAGTTAAAGTTTTGTTATGATAGTGAGCTTACTGGTTCAAGGTGATCAATAAAATTTGTCTCTATCTTCTTTCCCTTTTTTTTTTTATGGATGCCTAGTAAAGATCCATCAAATGATTGGGCGTACGACAGATACATGACCAATGTCATTTCATACCACACCTATAACAAACTTTTTCATAGTTTTTGGGCGGTTTATTTAGCAAACCCTTTCCTTTATGTGCTTTGCACCTTTGTTTGCCCACTTCTAGAGGTGAGGTGAAGTGATGATCACAATGTCGATTCTCATTTCGACCACATCCACACTTATGACCACAACCATGATATGAGGTGACATTTGCTCCAGAGAAAGTTGTAGAATCGATCAGGCGAGATTAGTGATTTTTCATTAAAAGTTCGTTATTTTGTTCAGCCACAAGAAAACATGATATCATATCAGAGAATTTAGTGAACCTATTCTCACTATATTGCTACTGCATGAGTACATTAGAAGCATGAAGACATGTTTTTGTATTAGTAATTATTTCTCTACATAGTGTTAATTGTGAGCTGATTTTGTATAGTGTTGAATTATAATCGCTCATCTTTTTAAAATCTTTCAACCTCAAATGCATCTATTCACGTCGAGCATTTAAAAGTATAATGATCTTTTGGTGTTACACCGTTCCTTTAATTTAACCCAAATGACAAGTGAATCCTTTTCTGTGAGATATTAATTTTTCAATCCTCCGTGAAGGTGATGACGAATGAATATCATTGCTTTTGAACTATCTTGTAGGGATGCGTTATCCTGCAAGATGCATCATTTCCTTCTTTCATAGTATTACCAAGATTCATAACTGTCAAATAAATCTCAGCCTTAAGAATTTAAGAAAGATAGTTGTTGACTGAAATAACAAGAGTGACAATCTCAAGTTATGCACATTAATCAAACCACGAAACTGAAACAAATAATAAATAAACACATAAACATTGGAACTCAAAATAGGAATATAGAGAACTTAACTAACAAAAATCTTATGCGTAATTTTAATAGAATTTAAGGGGCTAAAAGAATTATATAATAATCCATGACTTCTCTAGAGGAGGCACTAATTTGAAGACCAAATACTCTTTGAGATGATCAAAACTTGTAATCAAACTTCTTTTATATGTGCATGAACAATTATAGAATAAAAAAAAACTTGATTCTCTTAAAAGATATTTACTTGAATTCTTAAACCGGAAGGGAATAGAAATCTAGAACTTTCCTTAAATTTACTTGAACAATACTTGAGCTTTTCATGCTGATAATGTGTTATAAAAGTAAGAGAATTATAGAAACTATAAAAAATATATAGAGAATATAGAAAAAAAACTTCTTAACTTGTATATTTATAATAAAAACTTCTTTTTATAGGCCTCAAATCATAATAATTATCAAATATAATAATAACTTTGGATGGAGGTTATAGAGCCACATGTTAATACCTCTAAAGCTGGTTGGTTAGTGGTCATTTGCATTTATATACAATATATTTACAACAATTCATGTTTTATTAGATTCACATTGAAATAGTCAAACTTGTGTTGTATATAGTTGGATTTTTAGGATTTATTTATGGAAAAATTATCAATAAATTTTACTTTCTTCTTCAAAAAATTATTAACAACTACAAATGATATAATTGATCACAAATATTATGGTTGATAATGGAAATTATAACTTTCAAAATCCAAATACTACTTTTAATTGTCAAATTATACAATTTAAATATAGAGTTTCAATTGATCGCGGTTTGTCATGATTGATCACACTCTTTGCTGATCGGTTATGAATAATTTCAATCGGTTGTAACTTTATTTTTAAAATATATAATTGAACAATAAATAAGATTCTTTTTTGTGGTAGCAAAATTTTTTTTAGGTACCTCAGAGTGCTATCATTTTAAAAATATTTGGGGCCAAACTGAAATTACCACCAAAACAAGGGTGATAAGTGAGTTTGGGAAAAACTCAGCACACTTTGCAGGCCGAACACGAACAGTCCCAACTCCTAACTTCCCTTAGCCTCATAGCAAGTGCGTTTGAACACGTGCGCTATTGACCAGCTCCTCCGTCAAGGCATTTCTTTCATTCTAACCGTTATGCTCCGTTTGGGTGGTGAGAAGACGAGGAGGGATACATTTTTTATTTTTTAAAGATGAAAAATAAGAAAAATATGTTTTCTTTCTTTTGTATTTGATTAGAAGGATGAAAAATAAAAATAAATATTTTTTTTTAATTTTTTTTTGTGTTGACTAAGATTAGGAGTGATAATCGAATAGAGTTGTGTCGTGTCAGATTCGTATTAAGTTATTACAAGTTTGTGTCGAATATTAGTCAAATTTAATTTAACTCATTTAACTAATTGTATCGTGTCGAATTACGAATTCACCTGTTTATTTTCGTATTAAATTCGAGTCATGTCATCGTGTTGAGTTTAAAATTTTTACCCTTAGTTAAGATAGATATATATATATATATATATTTTACCATTATATTTTTATATAAAATTAACATATACATAAGATATATAGACAAATAAGATACATTTCAACACAAATAATTAATTTTTTATTCATTTTATTTTTGATTTTAAAGAAATTAATTTTAGTGAGTTAATCAATCCGTTTTTCTACCAAATAATATTTTGTTAATCCTTTCGCCTTTTCGTCCACCCTATTTCTCATCTCCCATCTATTATCTCCTATCGTACCGAACAGAGCGTTAACGAATTAACGAAGAAGAAGAAGATCAAATCACAGAAACAAAACAAAACCAACATTGTCTGAGATTTTAAGTTCTTCCAAATCCAATTCACGCACTCAGTTCCGAATTCAATTATGCTACTTTGCTGTTTAGAAAAATATTGGTAGCTCGTGATCAATGGTCGGCGCCGCATCGGCGATTTTTGTTCTCGACATAAAGGGAAGGTGTTTGATCAGCCGCGATTATCGAGGTGATGTCTCGTCCGTTCAGGCGGAGAAATTCTTCTCCAAGCTCCTCGAGAAAGAGGTATTTATGCTCAATTAGACGCATTACATTTTCACTCCATTACACTATAAATCGAAATGAGACTCACTATTTATATATGGACTCCGCGTCCATACTGTATGCATAATCAGTGAAAATGTAATAGAGTGGATCTGAATGCCAATTACATGTACAAACACCGTGCACTTCCCGGTACTGGTGATTTTATATGATGCATGTGCCTGTTTGTGGTTTTGGATGATATAAATCTTTGAACTTTGTTGAGGTGTGATTTGTTGATAACCAGGGGATAATATTGTAGCTTATGATTGAATTTCAAAGAGAAGCACATTTGATACTTGATATGGCAGATTGCTACATTGTGATTTCATTCGTGTCTTAAATTAGTATTTTTTTTTACTTATTTAAACGAAAAGGTGTAGTAGCTCATTTTGCAGCCTTTTTAAAAATTCTGTGTCATGTGTTGTGTCTTGAAAGTTGTAACTCATTATTAACTTGGATAAACTTTAATAAGGTTGCGTGGAATTTGAATTTTTATCAGTGAAGAAATGTACCTTTGGTTAGGACTTTGATGCAGTCAGAGATCAGCTATGATTACATTTAAGGTGTTGATAATCAACTAAATTCTAGCAGTTCAAAAGATCCAATCAGCACTTAACGTTCAAAATGGTAGGATATGTTCTTCTGAAACTGGTTGGGAATGCTAGAAAATAAAGAATTTAAGTAGGAAATTGTAGCTATTACAGCAAAAGAGATGTGATGAACTAATTTAATTAGGGTTAGGAAATTATACATGCTCATTTGCACTTTGAGAAGAGCCAGAGCTAGAAATTAGAGACGATAAGAAGAAAAACCGGAAAGAAGATGGCGAGATATTATCAAGAAAATTATTTCATGGGAACATTAAATTGACATTTTAACTAGAAAGGATATTAAATAATTGATAGTATTATGGATTTGAAGAAAATGGAGATAAGAGGTTGTTCTAGAATATGTTACGGCTTGTTATCTTGCAATGTCGGATACATGCTCTAAAATGTAGAGGCAAACATTTGTTAACCTTTAAGAATGGAATAGTATGACCTAGACACACTTCGTTGTCTATCTCGGAAAGAACAAGGATTTGCATTAATGAATTGCTAATTTGCTACACTATCCCATGCGAGAGCATGAACACCTCAATTTTGGCTGCTAGTGTTATATAAATCTGCCAAGAGATGAAGAATCAAGGAATTATATGTATCCCGTTCAAACCACCCCCCTTCCCTAAGAGAGGGGGTGGGGGGAGACAAAATTGATTAATAGCTGGGATTAATACTTTGCACCATATTTACATTGGTTTCCAATGCTGCCAATTTTGGATTAATGAAGTTTTCTCAAATTTTATTTTATATATACCTAATTCTTATGGCTTCATAAGCATTCATTTTTAATTGAAGAAATTGATTTGATCAGAGCCTTCAAAATGAGAAATATTTCTTTTTTCTATTAGGGTGATTTAGAGTCTCATGGTCCCGTGGGATATGACAATGGCGTGACCTACATGTTTATACAACACAACAATGTACACTTAATGACAGCATCAAGGCAGAACTGTAATGCTGCAAGCCTTCTTCTCTTTCTGCACTGCATAGTTGATGTAAGCGCTCTTTGCAAGTTTAATTCATTTGTTACATTTGCAGGTTTTTAAGTATTATTTTGAAGAGTTAGAAGAGGAATCCCTTCGAGACAATTTTGTTGTAGTGGTAAGGATTATGAATGGTCCATTTTTTTTTTGGAAAAAAACGACAAATGTTTAGAAATACTCAAATTGATTCCTTGTGCATGTGACAGTATGAGTTACTTGATGAAATGATGGACTTTGGCTACCCTCAATATACAGAAGCCAAGATTCTTAGTGAATTTATCAAGACTGATGCTTATAGGATGGAAGTCACGCAGCGGCCTCCGATGGCTGTAACAAATGCAGTCTCTTGGCGCAGTGAGGGGATACTTTACAAGAAAAATGAAGTAGGTGTACATTGATAAATGCTATGGATACTACATGAAATCACTTGTTTGGTTATTATGGTGTCTGTTTTCATGTTTAATCAGGTATTCCTTGATGTGGTGGAAAGCGTTAATATACTAGTCAACAGCAATGGACAAATAATTCATTCAGATGTTATTGGGGCACTGAAGATGAGAACATATTTGAGGTGCTTGTGTTATCACTATTCCCAACTCATTCTCAATTCCTTGTTACTTAATAGATGATAAAACAGCTGATATATGTGTTGTAGTCTATCTTCATTCCTTTTTTTTGTGTTTTGGGGGGGGAATTCCATGAAGTCACATATGTGACATATTCAGTATGATCTTAGTTTCTCCTTTCATCTGAAAAAAGAAAGGAAAGTTGATCTTAGTTTCAGTTTACATGCTAGTGTAGATATCAATAATATATATTCGCTAATCTTTGCTATTTGAACCATTGTATCTAAGAATTTAAACTAAGTCTTGTTACCACTTCCTTTCATTACCGATAAAATACAGTTTTTTGTGACAACATGAGATATAAAGAAGCAGGAAGAAGAAAACTTGCACCACAGACAGTCATTGGAAATAACAAGAATGACTTAGTTGTAGTAGTTGAAGCAGTTCATGGAAAGCAGTGAAGCAGATGAGAAAGAGAAATAAGGAGAAAACAATCTCAATATTCCATCAATTCAACTCTGAATAAAACCCTTACATTAGTCCCCTTATGTAGGGGAATCAAACCCTAGAATTAAGACTCCTAACATAACTCTACTACTAAAAAGAAAAATACTGCTTACTAGTCAAATAAATAAATCTACAGTATTCATCCAACTCCATCACGATTCCCATCAGCAAGTCTTCTATTAAGACCTCTCAAAACAGCATAGTTTTCTTACTCCACGAGCTTCTGTTTCCAACATTTATTCACTGTAGGTATGTTTTCATTTAGTTATTTTTTTATTCAATATGTTCATGGGTGTCGGTGCATTTATTTATTTTGCCTCTTTGGGAGGATAAGATACATTGTTGCTTTATCTCATGTAGTGGCATGCCCGAGTGTAAGCGTGGCCTTAATGATAATGTTCTATTGGAAGCTCAAGGTTGATCAATGAAAGGAAAAGCAATTGATCTGGATGATATCAAATTTCACCAGTAAGCCTTGTGCAGCAAATTTCAATGTTCTATTTTGTGGAGTATTTTGATAGCATTTCTTTGTCTTATTTGACACTTAAATTCTCACAGCATTTGGTGTTGCAATTTTTTTTTCACCTTTTTGCCTTTTTCTTTTAGGTGTGTACGTTTGGCTCGCTTTGAAAATGACCGCACAATATCTTTCATACCCCCTGATGGATCATTTGATCTGATGACATATAGACTCAGTACTCAGGTTTACTACATTTTCTGTGCACCTTTTACAGTGTAATGTTGTTTCGATGTTGTATTTATGAACTTTTGTCTTTAGCAGGTGAAGTAAAATAAAATGTTTAATCTATGTGTTGCACAACCAAATGGCAGTTAATCAGGCTCCAATCTGAAGGACTTTTCATTCTTGCTCATATCTGAGCTCCTTTTTGATTTTTTTGTTTTCTTCTTTTACAAAATCGTTTAGGTGAAACCACTCATTTGGGCGGAAGCTCAAGTTGAGAGGCATTCAAAAAGTCGGGTTGAGATCTTGGTGAAAGCCTGAAGCTAGTTCAAGGATCGTAGGTAAACCCTTTTCATTTGTTCATCTCTAAGTACCGCTTCAGAAATAAATTCAATCTTATATAATTGACCGCACAATATTTGAAATGACTCCATCTTGTTTATTTCCATAGCGTTTGTATGATTCTGCCTGTTTACAAAATTCCAAATTAAAGTATTTTGATAGCCATTTCGCTTTTGATTTTCTATAGACTCCGTTTCTTTAGCAATTTCAGCATTTTATTTATTCTTACGTGACTTTGATACTGAAAAATGATAAAGCAGGATATCACTATGGTATGTCCACGTGCCCATTTGTAGGGGTGCAACTTGGGCGGACCAACCTGAATTCAACCCCAATTGAATTCGAGCAAGCTTCAGGTTGATGCCTCAGGTTTATGGGTTCAACCCGAACTCGACAAATTAAAAAAAAAAATTATATATATATAAAGCATTAGCACTAGGGTTTTCCATTTTTGTTCTCTACATCTCACAGCGCCTCGCTGGTTCACTCTGTCATTCTCAGCCCCTCTCCATCTCTCAGGCTCTCTCTATGTGCCGAAGACCGCAACGATGGTCAGATCTAGTGACTTTTGCATCTCAAATTGGTGGCTCCTGCTTCTCAGATCTGATAGAGATCTGGTGGCTATGCCATCGAAGACCACAACGATGGTCAGATCTGGTGGCTGTGGTGTGGTGGCTGTGTGGGAAAGGACTGAGGTGTGGTGGCTATGGGCAGTGGAATGGTGGTTGTGGTGGTGATGGGAAGTGGTTGTGGTGCTGGCTATGGGTAGTGGTTGTGGTGACAGTGACAGTGACTGAGTATCTGATTGAATTGTATAATTTTTTTTATCTGATTTGTAACCCGAATTCAAATTCAAAATTACCCCAAATTAAAAAATCCGAATTCAAACCGAACCTGTCTGAATTCAACTTGGACTGTAGTAGTACCTCGGGTTCGGGTTAAAGATTATATATGTAGGGTTGGGCTAGAGTTGATCCTTCCGCCTGCCCAACCTGCCCGAGTTGCACCCCTACCCCTTTGACAAAGGCACTTGATTCTGTAGCACCTTGAAATAGTTTTGATGAGAGATGACAAAAAATTGCTGATTTACTACCCTAGCTACTTTATGGTACAGCACTGCAACAAATGTTGAAATTGAGTTGCCAATGCCATCTGATGCTACAAATCCTAATGTACGAACATCACTGGGATCTGCTACCTATGCTCCCGAAAAGGATGCCTCGGTATGGAAGATTAAAGCTTTTCCTGGAAATAAGGTAGGATATGGATACAATTACCATATACTTTGCAGTCTTTTGGCTGTAAAATGATTCTCAACATACAAATAACCCTCTTCTTTTGGTATACAGGAGTACATGTTGAGGGCAGAATTTAAACTGCCTAGTGTAACATCGGAAGAAGCAGCTTCTGACAGAAAAGCTCCTATCCGCGTGAAGTTTGAGATACCATATTTTACCGTCTCAGGAATTCAGGTATGTGTGAAAAAATGTTGATTTGCTTCAAGTGATGCTCAATATGTGCGTGTAGGAGTTCCCTGCTGTGGGCCATATGCTAATTGTGGCAATCACTGATCAATGTAATTAGATTAGACCACAGTTCATTTCAAGGTAAGGCACGCAAAAAAGGACACAGCTTTGTTACTTAGTACCACACAACAAAAGCATTACGATAAGTTTATAGACATTTTCAGCTGGCTATATTAGTACATCTTTCCTTTTGTAGCTCAGACCATATTATTTATGCTTATAAAGGCATCATTCTCTCCTGATCTCAGTAAAATCTTTGAAAACTTGTCAAAATCTTGTGGCTTACATGCAGATGACATTTATTTTAGATCATATGAAGCTTTTTGGATGTTGCTCCAAGTCTTCTAATATGTAAGAATCAAATTTCATGCCATTTAGAGAAGTGGTTTCATAGGTGATAGCAGAAATTTTCTAGTTAGATACGAGCTTGGAAATCCTACAAATTTACCGGGACTTTGTTACGTCTGAGAAATGCATAAATTTTTTATTTCTAAGTTGTTGGTAATGTGTTGAAAACTAACCCTGCCACCAGTATACTCCTCTTTAACTCGCATTTATTCGGAATGAAAGCAAATATTCTTATTATAGGCTTTATAGCAAATAGAATGATGGCTCTTGACTAGTAGTGTTCTCTGTTATTAGTACACTACATCCAATTTAAAGTTTACAATGGCAGCTTAGTTAACACTCGAGGTACTTGAAAAAAAAAACTCTTTGAGGGAGGTGTCACACCCCATCCCGAGAGACCCTCTTAGGTTTTTCAGAGATGAAAGTGTAACTCAACACGTGATAATACCTGTATTTTGTAATGCAGTAATGCATTTTAAAAATTAATAATGTCACATAATACCACCATCAATATAGAGAACTATATAACAGGGTACACAACAGTGTTGTTTTTGCCAAAATAAAGAATTAGAGATTTCATCCCTTTACAACCAACAACTGGAAAACAGACATTCCTGTACAGTATGTACATAACCAGATTTTCTTAGTTTTTTTCTCATCTCTACCATGCTAGTGTAGTAGTGGACCTCACTCTAGACTTTAGCATCCTGAAACCAATAATTTTCTTGAGTGTACTGCGTATCCTAATAAATGGAGATATTAAAAATTATGGATCAAATATCATTTCACCAAATATGTTCACAATCTGAGGAGAATGTCAAAATCAAAGTGTTTTCAACACACTTTGAAATCCCATAAGTTCTGTCAATATAACAACATAATAAATAGTCCACCATAAATAGTTCACATGTGCTATAAGTTAACAACAACATTTAAGCAATATCAGGTTATCAACAACATTTAAGCAATGTCAAGCTATCTACAATATTTAAGCAATGTCAAGCTATCTCACGACAATTACGCAGTGTCCAAATCAACAACATGTAAGTCATGTCAAGCTATTAACAATTCTAACACAGTGGATACTACTCAAATTACAAACTTTTCAACAAACCACAAGCTTCTCAACAAAACATATTTGATCCATAGCTTAAGCAACTCAACTCAAATCAATTCAGAAAAATGGATTTCTCACATATAAGAAAATAAACTTGGTATATCATATACTTTTATTTCCAAGTATTATGAAGCAGTATACTTCACCTTTACCACTGACAGATATCTTTTCTTTCTTTACGATCAATCCGTATGCGTAAACGAGGTAGTAGTCTCCGACCCTAACAGTTAAACACATGGATTAATGCAAATGAGTATCGAATCAAATATAGATTAACTAATGAAAATCAATGCACAAGAATGTATTTCTTAATGTTTTGTATTAACCACAATTGCATCGTTTTGGGACCACTGTGCGTTATCGCACTCAAAACCCTAATTCAGATCTATGATTTCTAGTCCAAATTCAAGATCATCAACCATAAGTTTTAAAATATATTAATAATTCATAAGTAATGTAATACATGATTTCACAATGAATTTGAAAAATTTCGACTGATTCAGAATTGAGAAATTATATTCTGTGTTGTTTTTTGATTTGGAATAGCCAAAAATAAAACGATGTTATTTTTTAGTGAATTTTCATACACATACTCAAATAACCTACCTAAGAATGAATATAAAATTTATTTTTCAAAAATCACCCAAAAATTGGGTCAAATTAGCCCCGAAGGTCAAAACAGTCATTTTAATCCTCATTTTGATCCGGCTGTCGGATCGACTTGAAATTTTTCCGGGACCTCCACATGGACATTACGAAACTTTTGGCACCAACTAGAGATCAATCAGAGCTCAGACGCACCCTCACACACCATCGGGGTGCACTGGTGTACTTCATCTTCTTCCTTGGTCACTTTGACCAAAACCTTAGGCTCCTTCCACTAGCCCTAACCCTCGTACTTCTCACCCTCATTTCTCCCTACTCAATACACCTTTTCACCTAATTTTTTATCCTAAACACTCACAAAACATCACTTTAACAAACCCCATAATTCTCAAGTTTTGAATTAAGCTTAAACTCATAAGAAAAATTGGTCAAAGTAACCTAAAAATAAGGTTTTTAGTTTATGGTCAGACCTACAACTTGCATTTTAACCATCTTAACAACTTCTAAATCCATTTCTAAGGCCACCAATGGATTCCTAAGGTCCAGTTTAGCTAAGAAACATTTACCCTCCAAAGCTTAACCCCTAAAATCAAGAGATCAAAAATTCACCATGGCCAAAACTTCATCACCACCACCCCATCACCTCCGACCACGACAAACCTTGAAATAACCACCAAAATACTCTTCTACCTCCCCACAACACAACCATGCCAACCAAGTTAACCAAAATGACTTCAATCTCAAAACTCATTTCATAAAAACCTAAAATCTGAAAATTTAAAACATAAATTCGAGCAATTGTAGTATATCATATGAAATTCTAATGATACCAGGAGATTCCTAACCCTCAAATTAGGCTAGTAACATACCTTTATCCAGAGACTTGCGGAAGTATTTAACACCTCCTCAAACACATCTGAAATCATGGAGAAGGCTGAGGAGAACTCCTCTTGTGTTGTCAGGCAGCAGCTTGGAAACAATTGTCATGCAATGGTATTTTCATAAATAACTCAATTTTGTTTTTTTTATATATTATAAAGCTATTAAAACATGCACTATAAATATGTGCCTATAGTTTTTTTTCGTCCACATGCATGCTCGGGTCGGGTTTTACAAGAGGTCCTCAAAGTAGAAAGGTCGACTATCAAATCATAAAGAGACTTATACCTCTCATTATGCATTTGATTCTTGTTCAAACACTTTAAGTAAAGAAACTATGCTATTTCACCAATATATCTGGCACTTTGGGTGTTTTTTGGAGGCATGATTAGCCATTGCTGATGCAAACTTTTTTGGGGGGATAAATTTGACAGGTTCGATATCTTAAAATTATTGAAAAGAGTGGATACCAGGCACTTCCATGGGTGAGGTACATAACAATGGCAGGTGAATATGAACTAAGACTGATATAAATTCCACCTTTGTGTCGTTGCTTCCAATTGTTCCGTGTTGGGCTTGGGAGGTTAGCAAATTTTGCAGCACCTTTAGGCCTCAGCTGTACTGTTCTCTTCTTGTGCTCTTGGACATCCTTATTTGATTGTAAATACTTCTTGTGCTCTTGGACATCCTTATTTGATTGTAAATACTGTTTGTAAGGATTTTGCATATTACCTACTGATAAAAGGAGGATGTGTTGTTACAAATTGTTGTACCTTTATTCATTTTCATGGCGATTAAATCATCTTTTGTGAATTAAAGTCTGCGGATTGCCTTTTAATTTCATCGCAAACACATCTCTTCTTTCGTATAACAATCTTAGTTGCGGTTAGAACTATTATTCATAGACATTGATAAAGACTCATCAATTTAGCAGTACCTTAAGATGACATAGCCTTAAAGTTAAAGACGACATTCAAATGAGAAAATGCTTACGTGAAAATTTAGCCACACAGAGACGAAGAAGGGCGTAGAAATCGATGAAATGCTTCGGAGAGTCAAAAATATGCATAGATTCGGAAATTCTTGAGTAGGTCAACATATCTAGCAATTTCGTCCCGGAGCTAATAATTTTATTTTTTTTTGGAATTTGCAAATGACATTATCGACTAGTAAAAAAGATTTATTGTTGAAATTATAGTCTAGTTATTAATTTTTTATTTTTTTGCCCTTACTATGGTTGTTATATCTTACCCGGACCAGAGGGGTGTTTTAGTCAATTGTACTCTTATTTGGCTATATATACAAGGCTTTGCACTCAGTTTGTGTATCTCTTTTTACTCTCAATAATTCTAGTTGGTATCAAAGCAGGTCAAACCCTAGTCTTCTTTAGCTATAACCCTAAAACCCTAACCCTAGTCGCCAAATCCTAGCGTAGCCTAACCTAGCCACATCACCTAACCCTAGCCACATCAAACACCCCCACTAGCCATCAACACCACTAGCGATAACCAGCAGTGCATGCCAACACCGCCAGCGACAGTCACTTCAAGCACTCATTCGTGCCAGCCTGCCACCTCTCTGCATCCATCTATCTGACAACCAACGCTGTTGACTTTTTTCCTGGGGACGAAGCATCCTAGGAACCTTTAGAGGGGTCGGATCCCCTCCGTTGATCCACTTTTAATGTAGTAGATCATATATATATATTTTTTTGAATTTCTTGACATCATGACTTATTATTTGGGGGCTTTTTGGACCTTTTTTATTTGTCGCTATTGTTCGATTAGAGGTATATTTTTCTCCCTTGTTTTTCCTATATTTATCTTAGAGTAGTTTTTGTCACGGTTGCCACATTATTATTATTTCAATGGCCACTAATGAGAGACTTGAGACCTGTACTATTAGTATTTCCACTTGGGAGGTACCACTCACTTCTGTAGAGATTACCCATCTACCTTTATGTTTGACCAGTATGCAATACCTATTGGCACATTTGCATTACCGACAATGTCAGATATGATCTCTCAGAAGGTTACAGCACAGTTATTGAATGACTGTAATTTTGCTGAATGGCCACTCTCATTTCAGCTTTTCTTATAGCGTGTTGGGAAGCTTGGTTGGCTGATAGGATCACACCCAAAGCTAGCTAAAGACGACTCTGAATATTCTGTGTGGTTTTCTGAGAACTGCGTTATTCTTAGATGGGTATTTGGCTATATGGAACCATTTGTTTGCAGGATTCATCAGTTTCATAACTTTGTTACGAAGTTATGAAGCGCATTATCGGAGATGTATTCAAAGTCAAGTCCTGGAGTTCGTGTTTATGAGCTTTCTCAGGAGCTCTCGTATGCTCGACAAGAAGATATGACAGTTCAGGACTATTAGATCATTTGACTCAGTGTTGGCTTGAGTATGACACTCTACGTCCTCTTGCAAGTATTCCGAGGATAGAGCATGAGGGAGCAGCATTTCTATATATTCGAGAGCAAAAGGATAAGATTCATAAATTTCTTATGGGGTTTCGTGATTAGTTTAAGGGACCTCGTTTTTAGATCTTATTGATGTTAAGGCTTCATTCTCTGTATAAGGTGTATTATATGACTAAGTAGGATGACCACCGCGTCCATATTACGTCACTTCTAGTTACAACCTTGACTCTTTAGGTTGACCAGATGACTTTTGCAACTACTGTAGGATCTTGCTCAAGACCCTTAGCCAAGGGTGGACAACATCCAAACCAGCACCGACAAGGTGCCCCAGACCAGCATAAACAGGGCGATTCTTGTCAATGTGATTATTGTAGCCGATCAAGACATCTCAAGACTGCTTACTGGAAGCTCAGGAGGTGGAGCTTAAGCTACCTCATCTTGCTCCTTGAGGTAGTACTGCTGATATTGTTGTGAGACCACCACCTACTACTATTGCCCCTGCTACTCCTCCTCCTTGGTAGAGCGATTTGGATACTATCACTACCAAATTGGATATGCTTATGTTTGTCATGACTTCTTAGGGTCCTACTATTGATGTTGCAACTACTATAGATATACCTTATGCTTTTCATACTCGCACCGGTTCTTATCCCCTTTAGATGTTGGACTCGGGTGCGAATGGTCACTTGACAAGTAAGACTCATCATTTCACTACTTTTAATGAGCAATTACACATAGGTTCAATTAGTAGATAGGACACATGCCCCTATTGTTGTTGGGGTACAGTTCACCTTCCAGATGGCTTTATATTACATTCAATTTTTTATGCACTAAAGATGACCATGAATCTATTATATAAACATCAGTTAGAAAAATATTTTCATTGCATGGTAGTGTTTGTATCTGATTCATGTTATTTGTAGGATCTGAGTACCAAGAGAATTATTATTAAGAGACATGAGAGAGATGTGTTGTACTATCTAGGCGATCCACCTCCAGCTCCTCCACCACATGCACCTGTTTTATCTTTAGTTTTTCCTAGCTTGCATGCTAGTATTTTATCTAATACTTGTCGTTATGATTTTTTGTCACAGTATATTCAGTTGTGGCATGACCATTTTGGGTATATAAATTTTAAATATTTATGTATGTTAATTTCTGCTCTAAGTAATACTTGTGCTAGTGGTAGACTTGATTATGTTATATGTTCATTATCTAAACATGTTAAGACCAATTATATTACTCATACGCACCAGTCTCCCAAGTCATTTGACCTAATAGACTCTGATATTTGGGGACCCTCACCTATTATTGCTCTGTCAAGAGTCAGATACTATTTGACATTATCAATGACCATGCTTGTTGTACTTAGGTCTACCTTTTGCATAGAAAGTCAGATATACTCCTTGTCACCACTCAGTTTCTATAGATGATTAAGACACAATTTGATGTTATTGTTTGTGTTATTCGTTTGGATAATACCAAAGAATATGTGTCTAATGCCTTAGTGTCTCACATTTTTTTCTAGAATATTTTTCAGTACCTCACCTGCCCATATACTCCTGAGTAAAATGGAATTACTGAAAGAAAAAATAAAAGTCTGATAAGGATGGTACGTTAGCATTTTGCAGTTCTGATTTCTACCTTTTTGTGCAATCGCACACCAAGTCATGTTTTTTAGCATAAAGCTCCCTTACAGGTTTTATTTCCTGAGTGGATACTTTTTTTGGTCCTTCCTTGAGGCCTCGTATTCTTAGCTTCTTTATCAGTTGGATGTGAAGAATGCAGTTACTTTGTGGTGATCTGGACGAGACTATTTATATGGATGTACCACCTGGCTTTCGCGGTGAGGGGGAGTATGTTGGGAAAATGTGTCGATTGCGTAAGTCTCTTTATAGATTGAAACATTCATCAAGAACTTGGTTATCTTGATTTAGGGGTGTAGTTGTACATTTAAGCTTCACCAGATGTCATTCTGATCATACATGCTTCATTCGACGGAATACTTCTAGGCAATGTGTTATTTTCTTGGTATATGTGGATGATATTATTATTATTGAGGATAACGTTTCTGAGACTGCACAGGTCAAGATTGACCATGGAAAGCCTTTGATGTGATGGATCTTAGAATTCTACGATACTTTCTTGGGATTGAGGTTACTCATAGTAATAGGGATATTGTTCTCTCTCAAAGGAAGTACGTTCTAGATCTTCTCGGACATTGGGATACTGAGGTGCAAACCGGCATCATCACCTATGATTCCAAACCTAAAGTTTACTGCTGAAGGTGAGGAGTTGAAAGGCCCTACTGTTTATCAGAAGTTGATAGGTAGATTTATTTACCCAGCCAACACTAAGTCAAATATTTCATTTGTTGTCAATCGAGTTAGTCAATTCATGCATAAGTCGGGTCAGTCTCATCTAGATGTAGTATGTCATATTTTTCAGTACCTCAAGTCTTGTCCTAAATTTGAGTTGTTCTATGCATCAGGTCTCAGACCGATTCTCTAGCCTGTTATTCAAATTCAGATTATAGGAGAGCTTGTGTTGGTCGATCTACTACGGGTTTATGTACTTTTCAATAAACTCATTTTATTTCTTGAAAGAACAAGAAACAGGCAATTGTCTCCAGTTCATCAACAGAGACAGTATTGGGCACTAACACTTGGCACATGTAAGGTTATCTGACTACGATCTATTTTTGGCGAGTTAAGATTTTCAGTAACTTTTTCATCTACATTATATTGTGATAACCGATATATTATTTAGCTTGCTTCTGACTCTATACTACACCAGAGAACGAAATATATAGAAATTGATGTTCACTTTCTTAGAGAAAAGGTCAGTTGCAATATTGTCACACCATCGTTTGTAAGAACTAGTGATCAAGTTACGAATGTCTTCACCAAACATATCACTCTATCCATTATTTGAAACTCAATTGTCAAGCTTAACTTAATTGATTTTTTTGTGCCTAACTTAGAGGTGAATGTTAAAATTATAGTATAGTTATTAATTTTTTACTTTTTTGTCTTTTTCGCCCTTAGTATGATTTTTATGTCTTCTCCGAACCAGAGGAATGTTTTAATCAATTGTACTCTTATTATACTATATATACAAAAGTCGGTACTTGGTTTGTGTTTCCTTTTTTACTCTCAATAATTCTAGTTCTATCAAATCAATAATTGTACATGACAGACTATCTACTAAATTTACTTGTATTTCAAATAATATTGAGATCTCATAAAAGATATAATCCACATATATTGCTCACTTACAGATCTCTACATTCCAACAAAAGAACCACCTTACTTAAGGACTCTCAAGTTCCATTGCAGACAACCTCTCTGTGAAAAGATCGAACGTTTCATCTCGCGACAATGTACTTATCCTCACATACTTTGAGCTAACCCCAAAGTACTTCCCACCTCGGGTCCAGATCTTGTGGCTTCGAAGGAAGCTTTCACAGTCCTCTATTTCGCCCTCACACTTCAACCACGCAAAAGCTGCAGAGAGGAAGAAAAACGTAATGGTAGTAGCTACACGATGAATACTAGGACAATTTACGAAAATCATATGTGTTTCATCAATCGAATTGTAATTACCAGGTTGTGATTCAAAAGTTCGACCACTAAATGTGCACGTCCCAGGAGGAAAGTCGGGCAAACTGAAAAGCTTACTCTTATTCACTGCTGCTCTTAGTTGCTTCCACCTCTTTGCCATGATATTGTAACCATATTCGAAGAAAGGTTCAGTTTCTTTAGAGTTGCCAACATAGTCATAGCTTTCAGACACAGCTTGTAAAATCTTTGCTGCCCGGAGCTGTGAATCTCTGGACACGCCAATGGTGTTAAGCTCTATGAAATTAGTCATTTTTTTGGCAATTTCTCGATCTTTGACAAGAGCCCATCTGCGATATGTTTAAGGAGAAAAATTTAGAAATATAGGCAATCAACAGATTAACATGGAAGCTTTGTTGATTAGTAGGACTAAAAGTCGTATAAGGGATTGGTCTTGCCCCTCATTACTTCATTCACATCAATTTCAACTGTCACGTTCAAGGCATCAATAGTCGTCCCATCCCTCACCCAACTCATCGCATACTATAACTATTAGGGTCGGGATGAGAATAATCAATCCACTTTGCCTATCGATTATTGGAGAAGGCCTTGAACCCCGAGCCTTCCCAAAGGCTATGTGAAACTCTATAGAGGGCATATATCTTCCTAAAAAAACCAGAGAAACGATAATGAATGGTCGAGTCATGTTTGGGGATCTATATCATAACATAAGTTGGAAGGCTCTTCCTTAAGAGAGAGCCGAGAGATAGGGCAGAAATCCCGGAGAATCACTAGAGACAAAGGAATAGAACTCCTAGTGCTCAAGGCTTCCACTCTATCTATATGGTTCGGGCATCCCCTTGACTGAAGGATTACTGAAGAAGCTTGAATTTGCTGTAATGCAAATAAAATTCCCACGATCATACCACCAAATAAATCATTCTTGATTTTTATGTCCAAATAAATAATCAAGGAGTTAAAATCACTGATTTAACAACCAGAAGAAATATATCAAAACTCTAATAGTAAAGTCATGTTTCCGACAAGCACAATTATTGATGATTAGCTTACCCTAAACGAATCCCAGCATGGCCAGTGCTTTTGGAGACTGTGAACAGCATGATATCGTGGTCTGCAGGAAAAGATATTGGAGTATATTGCGGCCAATAGTAAGCAAGGTCATGAACCAATAATCCTTTAGTTCGACGGACCACAGGTTCCCTTGTAGAGCCATCAGGATTATTAGGGGAAGTTACAAGCTCAATGTAGGGACCATCTTTACTGAACTCGTAAGCATCACCCGCCCATTTATAAAGCGCAGACATTAGGTAGTCGGTCAACAACGGGTACAACTGCAAGCAATTAGTAAATTCAATGGCCAGCCCTTACAATGTTACAGTTTACACAAAACTACTCATTACTATTGGTTAAAATATCATGTGATAAACATTCTGATGAATGTAGACAAGCTAGATAAGCAGGGTTAGCACTAGTCAATAGATTATTTGAAACATGAACTGAACTGGAATTCTCAAACTTTACACTGATTATTTGGATTTCAGAATCTTATTTTGCAACCATAGTATTACTCCTGAAGTTCAAGTTCTGATATCTCAGCCTTGTCAGTAGTTTTGATAAAATTAAAGAAATCTCTGTGGTGGAAAAAATTGAGGCAACAAAAAGGTATACGCATGGAAATGGAACACAACCACAAATGCACAAAGCAAATCCGCATATTTTACAAACATGGAACATTAACTTCCAAGTTCACCATATCAGAATGCTATTTAACTCTTGCATACTAGAGAAGACTGTTCATGCCAGAGAACAGGTGACCATAGATGGTCATGTCAATTTGCAACAATCTAATTATCTTCAATGTAAGGTAGGCTGACTTTATAGCTCCTTCGATGTAAGGGGGGCTGACTTTTATGGTTTTTTTCCATAATTTTATAAGTGTGGAAGTACAAAGAATCGAGGAATTACTTTACGAACAAAAAAATCATTGTGTAACCACTTCAAAGCTAGATTTCTGTTTCATTCTCAATTGATGACTAGAAATACCTACTCGAGTGTAAGTGCATGAGAGAGAGCAGGGGGGCAAACCAAATAAAGGAAACAAAAGGACATAAATGCATCGACAACTCAACCACAGCAAAGATTATAAAAACATGATATTGCAAGATAGTGACAAAATATTAAAATACCACCAGAAAGCCACAGACCACTTTCTATATTTAAGGGGTTGCAAATATAGCAAGTAATTGTTTCTGTTATCTTTCAGATAAACCAACATCGTGTTAGCTCATAATGTGTCTTCTATCAAAAGAAATACTGAAAGAGGACAAATGTACATATATGCAATCAAACATGCCTGCCACGTTACGTGGTCAAATGAATACTAACCATTATGGTAGCAAGCCGCAATGTTTATCAGTTATAGGGGTTGACTTTGTTTGGATTCTCTGTCAAGTATATCAGGCTATCAGGTATTTACAGTTAAAAAGATAGAAGTGTCATTTTTCAATCAAACATTAGCTGTAGAACCAAAAACGACAAATTTGCAGATACGCAATAAAGCATGCCTGCCACGTTATGCCATTAAACGAATACCAAACCCTATGGCAGAAGCCGCAATGTTTATTAGTTATAGAGGTGTTTTTGGGTTTCCCTAGCAAGTATATAACAGAGTTCCAAGAATTTGTACTTGAAAAGATATATCTGTCACTATCGAATCAAACATTAGACATAGATCTCACCGAGTAGAACGGGGCAGCAGATACCACGCTCATGGGCTCAGATGCATTGGGTGGAGAGAGAGCATATAGTACAGCCTGAAAGAGTTGTGTAGAACCTGTCCCAACCACAATGTGGCGGTCTTCAGTAATTGCATTTCCAACAATTTTGTGTAGTCTAACCACTGAATTTGCAAATTCTGGTTCCAAAAACCAGCAAAGGTTTCTGACATCAGAAAAATAACTTATAGACTGGTGACCAGCTATAACAAATGTGCTCTTTTCCCCCATCTCGTGCCAAAACCTCTCATACATTGTTGGGTCGCCACTGCATTGATTCACGCATAAAATTAGAAACTTCTATTAATGTCACCAATTGAAAATACAAAATAATCATGCCAGATTCTCAAAAACCAGAACCTATCTCCACAAGTGTTTATGACTATATATGTTTGTTGTTTTCAAGGAAGCATCCTCTCCATGACCAAGACAATGTATAGTTCAACAGTTCAAGGGATGTTGAGTGCATGAAAGATTAAGACATGCACGTTTTAGTAAAATCAAACCATGAAGTGATGTATAAAAAATTTACCAATGAATTGCAATCTTAGCATTTATGGAGGTTAGAGTGAATCTCAAACTGTGGTAAACATACCTTTATCTTTTGTTTCCTTTTTGGTAGGGGAGGGGGTGTGAAACCCCGCTAAGGCGTGCGAGATGGCCCATCAGCCACCTTAAATGTCTCATAGTCATAGAGACAAGGTTGTGTTGGCAAACATGATCCCTCCTGGGGACAGTGAAACATGCAGGCATATACTTATGTATGTATGCTACTAAATACTTGAGGTTAATTGTAAAAACTGTCACTGCGTTAAGATTCAATATTGGATGGAGGCCAGGTATGGAGGCAGCAATTCTGGGCCATGCTCTATCAGAGTATCAAATGATTGGATTCATGACAGGTAAATGTCAGATCCAAATTGAATTTTTTGTAATTGGAAACACAGGCATGACCCACAAAACACTTATAACCAAGCATCCCACCCACCCACCCTCCCAACTTTCCCTACAATGCTAAAGGGTGGTCCTAAAATTATACAAAAAGGAAAGGCAGCTCGGTGAATGAATCTTCCATCACTGCAAAGTCCGGAGGACTTCAGATGTATCACCCTCACACTGCATGCCGAAAAAACTATTTTCATGGCTCAAACCGTGACGTCTAAGTAACAATGCAATAACCTCATCGTTGTGTCAAAACCCGCAAAGAGTGACCACAAAAATGCAACTCACAATGTAGAGGGTACAACTTTGTTTTTGAAGATCTTCTCAAAGGACAAAAGAGAATCTTTATGCAGCATCCGCACAAAACCAAGAAGTCCCACAAACATGTATGGTGTAATCAATTTTTTAAGTAGCCCAAAATTGCCTTTTGCTAGCATGGTGGCATTGGAATTCAAATCTTCTTAAAAACTAAAGTATTTAAGAGGTTTGAGGTCCGCCAAAAAAGTACAGAAGAATGCTGGTGCTGGTCAATGGGAATCGAGGACCCCCACCCCCACCAGTGGTGCATGTTAGTCTCTAACAGCAAAACCTAACTTTGGGAGCAGAGACCATGAGAGAGTAGTTGTCAAAGTACGAAGAAAAGGCTCACAAAATATCTCAAACAAACATGACCTAAGCTTCACTTGAGTTATACAGATACTTAATATCACTTATATCCCTTGTGATTTTGGAAATATTGTGAAGCCACTCCTTCATCAGCATAAATTGTCAGCACTAGGCGATAGCCTTTACACTCAAGAGGCTGGCTCAAATAGTAATAGAGATGAATTGTAAATCCAGACATCTTGAATTTAAATCTTGACAATCTCTTGAGGTCAGCTTATAAAAGATTTATTCCTCACGACTATTTTTGAGTGAACCGAAAAAGGATTAATCAAGTTGCGACACACCTAAGCTGGCCCAAATTCTACTTACCGTTGAACTAAAAACAAAAGAAGATATCCTCTAGAGATGACCACTCTTTCTTCCCCCAATCAATTAACTGTATAACTACATGAGCAAATTGGGGTTTAGACTCATTTCAATTAAAAAAAAAAAAATCTATGTTAACATAAAAATTATAAAATTAGCAGGGGGGAAGTGGTATATCAAAAATATTCAAGGGAGGTTTCCGATATTTGCAAGTAAACAAAGTGGCACACAGTCTCACACTTACTGGTCGAGATCGATGACACCATCTCCGCCATTTTGAAGTTCCTTACTAACAGTTGAAGTCACCAAACGTGATTTCTTGCTATCATGCGCCTCTTTCTTGTCCTGGTTCTCCAAACAAAGCCCAGAAACGCTCTTTTCCCCAACATAGACCACCCTAGAGATCAAACCCACGTTCAATGCCAAAGACAACACCAACAAATGCTTGAGAGTAAAACCCATCAACATCTTTTGATCCTTCATCTCTCAAGACCACCAAAATCTGATCAGAAATTGAAGAAAAAGAGACCCTTTTGAGAGATACTCTTCTGTGAGTGGCAATGCAATAGAACCCCAAGCCCTCTTTTTATAGCAAAACCACCCCAAGATGAACCCAAAGTTTAGGATGACAGATGGGTTGGTACTGAATCTTTTGTGCTTCACAGCTTGAGACGTTACTCCAACTTGAGACGTTACTCCAGCTTTGAGAACTCGTGTCAAAAAAGTCTGAGATTCAAACAGAAAACTTTAATGGGAAAATGTTACAAACCAGGGAATCTTTCTCTCTCTGATCATAAATTAACCAAGGAATCTTTCTCTATCTGGTCATAAATTTTCTCAGTGATTTTAAGGGTTTTTTTTCCACGAGTTTAAAATACAGATTAGGCCAGTCGATTTTAACTTCAACTTAACAAGGCATAAATGAAGGTTGTTTGTTTCTAGTTTTCTACAGAAGTGAAGAGGTAGAAAGTTTGTACATACCATTAAATCTTGAAATCACCATGGTTTTGAGTCTTTTGACAGCTCAAAAAGTTGGAGTTGAGGGGTTCGGAAGACGACGCAGACGAATCTGGAGACACTGGCATTTCTGAGGAAACAAACAAGTACGGTGTTGTGGAAGCTAAAATGAGCCCGAAGTGTATGGTGGGTTTGCCAAGAAAAATCACCTCCGACAGAAGATTTTGGTAAAAAACCAAGAAATCACGCAGACGATTTTCCCGGAAATTTTCAGTTTTCCGATGCAAGAAGATTCACTGTTCCATCTCTCTCTCTCTCTCTACATATATAAGTGTGTGTGTGTTTCTGGGAGTTCTAAGAAAAGAGGTAGCTTTGCTGGTTCTGTCTGTGGAGAACTATCTCTCTCTCTCTCCGTGCACGGCTGAGTTCCCAGTTCAGCTCTTCTCTTTTCGTATTTTTTTCTTGGAAAATTTCAGTGACACCCGCTTAAATTTACCGTATCTTTAAAGATACCCTCTCTATTATTCAAAACATCACTAATTCTCCTTTTATTTTATATTTAAACATCATTGACACTCTATGTCGTTAAACCACCATTTCTAACAAAAATAAACATCCAAAATACCAAAATTATCTCTATATAAAACCCAAACAATTTTTCTATATAAATTTCGATTAAAATTTATTTTTCTACATATTAAAATTTAAACCGATTAAAATTTGATTTGAGCTTATTAAATTTTATTTTATTTGCGTATTAAAATTCAAGCCTATTAAAATTTATTTTTTATGTTTTAAAATTCGAGCCGATTGAACTCTACCTGCGTTGTTAGCTCCAATTAAAATTTTCTTCGACTTTATTAAAATTTATATTTTTTTCTTAATAAAATTCGTGGTAATTAAAATTTGATTTAAGTTGATTAATATTCAATCTTTTATATATTAAAATTTAAGTCGATTAAAATTTATATTTTTTCTGCATCAAAATTCGGATCGATTAAAATTTAATTCAAGCCGATTAAAAATGAATCTTAATCGACTCGAATAGAATCTTAATTGACTCAAATTTTAATATGTAAAAAAATATAATTTTTAATCGACTCAAATTTTAATGCATAAAAAATAAATTTAATTAATTCGAATCAAGTTTTAATTAGCCTAAATTTAATACGTAAAAAAAATTAAAAAATATAGGGAATTTTATTGAAGATATATCTATCTAGAAAGAGTGTGGATAAATTTTTTTCTAAAATATAATATAAACAATTTAGTAAAATTATATTATAATTAATACTTTTAATTTAATAGAGATGTCAATAAAGATTTAGAAAATAGAGAAAATATTTTTAAAAATAGAATAAACTAAGAGAAATGTCACTGAAATTTTCCCCTTTTTCTTTTGTTCCTTTTGTTCTCAGCTTTTTAAAGCAATTTTTAATGGAATAATGGAGTTACTATTTGGGAATAGGCCAGTAAAAGTTAAGTTAAAACAGTGTAACTTATGGATAGCGAATAAAAAATTTTAATATTTTTGTGGATAATTTATCATTTATTGTGTATTTTTATTATTTTTGTGAATATTTTTATTATTGTTTTACTAACTATTTTTTTCACTTTTTCGGTACAAAAAAATTATTATTTCTGTAGGTAATTCATTACTTTTATAGGTATTTTTACCAATAGTAACTATTTTTATCATTTTTTTTCGGTACTATAATAATGATAAAAATATCTACAATAGTGACAAAAATACTTACAAAAATAATAAATATCAATACAATACCAAAAAAAAATTCGATACCATAGGCAACTTCGTAACTTATTAACACTCTTTGTTTTTAGGGATTTTTATTGACAAAGAATGTGTAGTTAAGCAATTCTCTTGATTTTCTAATATAATTACCGATTGGTGTTTGGTCTAATAATACTTCTTGTCTTATAAAGACTTTATTTTTTTTCAGGTCGTGTTCAAATGTTCAAATAAAAATAAAAAAATGATGTCAAGTCTCAATAAAAAGTAGAATTAGTTGATATGTATCGAAATCTTATTCTGTTGAAGTAAAATTTTGCTAGTTTGCCTCACCCTATACTTCTTCACTAGTCATAATTTTGAACCCGATTGAAATAATAGTCCTTACGAATTAGACATTGTTAGAGGGGCTAACTGTTCAGATTGTTAGGTCAATAGCTATGGGTCAAACCAAATGTTCTACAGTGAATGAGAACCTCAAGATAATGTCCTGGAGTTTTTACGTCTGAGTCATCATTAGGATTGATAATTGAGCCGTGCTACTCGGGCTCGACTCGGATAGAATTAGACTCTACACGAGTCGACGCCAAATAATTTTTTAGACTCTTTTAAAAAATAAGCTTGAAAAATTCGATTCGAACTCACAAAGTTTGATTTATTTATATGTAAAATAGTCGAATTACTTGAACTCGGCTCATTTTTTAAAAGAGTCGAAGTTGAACAATTTTTAGGCTCGTTACAAAAATGAACTCAATAAACTCGACTTGAACTCACAAAACTCAACTCGATTATCAGCCTTAGTCGTGACACCTTTTCTACCGGGAAAAAAAAAAAAGGTAAAATTTTTGGTGGGATAACATATATTAACTTGTAGCTTGTTGTATTAATTGTATCTTCAACTCTTAATGACAATCCGGACAAAGTTTATGTACTTTTCTAACATGTGACATGCTTCAGTAAGCACGTTTTAGTGGAAACCCAAATGATTAAACATTGCATTTACACTAATTTGGTCATACACCTACCTAATAGCAGCAAACAATAAAAGCAATGATTTCTATAAAATCTATATAATAAAGTAGCTTACAATTCAAATTTCAAAAGATAAATAAAATGACTTTTGTTATTCGCAGTTTAAATCGTTTTAAATTTTATTTTAAAGTTAATCTAACGGCTAATTTTAACACTCTAAATTTAATAGAAAAAATAGACTTCTAATGGTGTGTTTAAAGTGACTTTTAAATATTATTTATCATAAATACTTTAAAAAAATAGTGTTTTAAACTGTCACATCACTACCTTTACCACCACCACCGTCACCACTATCACCGCCATCGCCACCATCGTCGCCACACCCACCATCACCGCCGCCACCGCCACCACGATCATTGTCACCTACCATAACCATCACCGTCTCCTACAACCATCACTGTTGCCCACCACCTCTCATCATCATTACAACTATTATTTAAATTCATTTATCTCTCTTTATATTTGTGATTTGATTTTGAATATGAATACAAATATGTTTATTGTTTACTATTTTTTATTACTCTGTGCCTTCAGGCATAGACAATAACTAGTTAATCTATACGAAGTGTCTTAACAACCGTTTGAAATGTAAGCATAAAGAAAAAAGACGTTGGGTTTCCGATAACTAATTTGGAAGTTTGTGAGACTTGTCTTTCTATAGAATGAACCTTCACGGTTGTAGATGGATTTTTTCGAAAGATGGGATATTTGGCAAATCTTTAGTTGATATAAGAGTGATTCCCATTTATTTTTTATAACAATTCTTGTGTTATAATTAAGTAACAGTTAGTTCTACGACTCGTCCCTCATTAACAGACATTCACTCGTTGTTGTCGACTCTTCGCCCATATTATGCTAGACTGATTAAAATAAGGTCTTCCACTTGATTGAGAATATTTTCCTACGTATCCAGTGCACGATGTTTTCGTTATTGCAGGGTCTAGATAAAATTAGATGTACATAGCTTTACTCATGTAAGCAAAGAGACTATTTCTGCAATATTTCTGTTTTTAGAATGTAAACTTCTTTTTTCTTTCTTTCTTTTCTCTTCTTTTTTTTTTGCTAGTTAAAAAAGGAGTGGGACAAAGGAGATCGTTTAAAGACTACCCCAATAGGTTATCACTAGTGAGATTATAAGGTTTCTGACCGCGTCATTACACCTCTCGAGAAATAACCTAGTTAGGCTGTTGAAATTTGACTCAAACTCTCTAATTGTCATGAAATGAGTTTGTTGAATAATCAATATAATAGTCCTAATAAACCATGGATAAGTTTATTAGTGACCAAATCAAATAAGAAACATCGATGTAGGTTTATTAGTGACTATGGATAGGTTTATTACAGTATTTTATCTCTATAAATAGGGGTGTGTATTATATAATCAATTATCAGATGATCAATTTTTCAATGAATAAAGCATTGATGTAAGTTTTTAGTCCTAGGATGTAGGTACGTTGTATTAAACTACGTTATATATTTGTATTATTTTTTTATCTTTGAATTCTCATCATCGAACAAGTATTATTTATGTTAATTATCTGTTGTGCAAAATCAACAAGTGATATCAGAGCTATGTTCTAACAAGTGGTATTACAACTAAATTGATGATCTTGATAGAATAATTAGAGTTGAGTTAATGATTTAGGTGTAACAATCAAAACAAGTTGTTGACGATCCAACAATCAAGTTGGTATTCATGTTGAAGAAGGTTCCCTTTCCATGTGTGTATGACATGGTGTGGAGATTGATTTTGTCCTGCATATATTAAGGACATAATCTTGAAATTTTTGGGATAAAGTATTAGGATCCACAAAGAAAAATTTAAAGTTGAAATGAAACTACACAGAAAACTAAGTTGCTTCCTATTTATATTTGAATTCCTATCTTCTAACAAGTATTATTTGTGTTAATTATCTGCTGTACAAAATTAACAAGTGGTATCTAGTGGTGTTCAAATTTTCGATTGATCGCAATTTTCTATCCTACCCTACCCTACTGAGTGGCTAATCGCAAAAATCGGGTATGAATACAAAAGAATTTTTGGTCTTCCAATTAAATCAAGTAGGAATGTGAAATACCCATCAATTTCCGTATTCCTACCCTACCCTACCCGCAAAAAATATGTTTAATTTTTTAATATTTTTTTTAGTAATTATAAGAGTATTTGTGTAATATAATTTATATTATAACATTGTTATTGTTATAGATGTTTGAGTTGCGAAAATATGAATTTGTTTTCTATGTATGTTACATGATTTGTGGTGAACTAGTGATCTATTAGATTAGTTATGATTTGAATGTATTTCATATGGTTTAAACTTAAAATAATTGTTATTGTATTTGTGTAACAATTATAATAGATTGATGTTCATGTTTTCTTATATTTTATTGTAATTGTTTTAGATTTTAGTGTTATTGATTTATTGTATTGTTAAATTGGTGCATGTTATTTAATTAAATTGTTAAAATGATCCAAAAATTAATAGATACAAAAGTATTTACTCGACTTCCTACCTGATTAATTGGATAGGAAGTTGGATAGGAATACCACATATGATTGGGTAGGGTAGGCCAAGAAATAAAAATTTCGCAAAGTATCGGGTAAGAAAACAGAAGATTATATTTCTACCGGTAGGATAGGGTGAACACCCCTAGTGGTATCAGAGTTATGTTCCAACATAAGCTAGCATAGTGGTCAACTATCGAAACTCAATGTGGATTCCAAGACTTGAACCTCTAACCTCAGGGTGAGAAGTTCGGCCGGTACCCCAATCGGTGACTATTCTTTTTCTCTTCACTTCTCTTTACCTCTTGAGTTTTTATTTAAAGAAAACCAATAAGACCAAATAAAGATGAACTTAGAAAGTCAACTCATAAAAAAACGTTTTGTAGAAGTGATCTATAAAATTTTGTAAACGAAATAAATGAGATGAGTTTATATAGTTTTGAAGGTATTTATATTGGGACAACAATCAGAAATTATTAATACCTAATACCTAATATAAGAAAGACTGGTTATTTCTTATGCCTGAAGGCATGAAGTAATAAAAAAATGATAAACGATAAACATATTTGTATTCACAATCAAAATCTAATCCCAAACATAGAGGATACATAACGAAATTTAAACACTGGTTGTAGTAGTGGTGGTAATGGGAGACGATGATGGTTTTGGCGGGTAGCAACGATCGTGGTGGTAGTGGATTTTGGGTGACGTTGGTAGTAGTGGTAATGGCAGTCATGGGTGACTGTGGTGGTGGTGGTGGGTGTGAGTGGTGGTGGGCGACGGTGATGGTAATTGGCAGTAGCAGTGGTGGGGCGACGACAATGATGGTGGGCAGTGACGATGGTGATAGTGGGCACCGACATGCGTTTCTGAGCGACAGTGTGATGGGTGGTGACGAATGCGATGGTGGGAGTGGTGGTAGATATGGTGGGGGGTGCTAACGGTGGGTGACATTGATAGTGGAATGATGATAGTAGTGACAATAAATATAAGAATAAGATGACAATAGTGGTGAGTGATGGTGGTAGGGTAGTGGGGCAATGACTGTGATGGTGAGGGTGACGACGGTGGTGGGGTGGCGATGACGATAGTGGTGATGATTGTTAGGGTGATGATAGGACAGTGCCAATGGTGGTAGCGTAGCGACAGCTAGCGAATGTGGTGGTGGTAGTGGGGTGGCAGTGGAAGTGGTAGTGGTGATATGGATGGTGATAATGGGGCAGTGGGGGTGAGGGTGCTGGTAATGGCGACGACGGTGGTGGTGGGGCAACGGGTGTGGTCGTGGGGGTGACTTGTCTGCAGTAGTGATGGTGATGGCAGTGGCAATGGCGGTGGTGGGACGGTTCCAAATACTATTTTTTTCTAAAGTACTTATGAGAAGTAATTAGTTTCAGAAACAATTTTAAAAGTCACCTCAAACACACATTTAGACCATACTTTTCCTATTAAATTTGAGGTGTTAATATTAGTCGTCAGATTAACTATAAAATAAAATTTAAAGAGATCTCAATACCGAAAAACAAAAGCCATTTTATTTTTCTTTTGAGATTTGAATTTTATTATACTTTATTATATAGATATTTGGGTTAATTGTACGAGAAATCTCCTCAGTATGGAATTTGTCTTATTTTGATCCCCAATATTTCATTTACATTATTTTGGTCCCTAAAGTATTAAATATATTTTTATGTGGTCCCTTAAGCAGACAACATCTAAACTGCTAACTATTTTTGATCAAAAACTTGTCACATGATACCTAAGTATGAACAATAAATAATTTAGGTAATTCTTTACCAAAATTTGGATAACTCTTGACTAAAAATGTGTAATATGGGCAATTCTTGACCAAAATTTATATAGCTTATGATTAAAAGTATGTAATTTGGGTAGCTCTTTGACCAAAATTTGAGTATACATTTGGTGAAGTATTATCTAAATTATTTTTTTTACCTATATTTAGGTATTACGTGATAAGTTTATCATAAAAAATCGTTAGCAATATGAATATTATTTGCTTGAAAAATCACATAAAAATATATTTAATACTTTAAAAATTAAAATGATGTCATTAAAATATTAAAAATCAAAATAAAATAAATCTCATACTTTGAAACCTCGTGTTCAATTAACCCCAAGATATTTTTTTCAAAACCCCATATCCATCATTGGGAGTCGGGACAAAGTTAAAGAGCATAAATGTACACTCTTGACCTAATTTTAGGTCCAAGAAATCCGTAGTCTGACACATGGAAGATGGAACATCCATGGAGGACCATGTTTGATGTTTGAGAGATCAGTCATGCTAATCTCTTCTCCAGAGAATATTATGGTTAGCTCTCATAGTATATGAGGACTCAGATAACTACTGCATTTAAGGCCGGTGGTCACTCTAGACTAAACTGAGGTGGTCCAACACTATAGGCCTTGGAGGTTCACCCATTAAGTAACAAGTATTAAGGTGATGGTCCTTCTCAAGTTGCCCCACTACTACTTGGTCCGTCAGTTTTCGGTGAAGTTTGGCTCTTGTCTAGTCAATAATTTTCAAGGACTAATAGTTGGTAATGGCTATCACAGCCAATTGTTGGATTATTAGGTCGTGGGTTCGAACCTCACCATCCCTTTTTCAATATAAAAGTTTCAAACAATGACCCCAAAAAAAAAAAATTATTACTCAATAATTTTCCTTTCACTCTCTCAAAGATTAGGCCCTTGTGGGATTAATGGTAGATTATGGGTTTATTGCACTTTCAAAACTTACTTTGTATGTATCTGAACGTTAGGTAAATAATTGTGTTAATTTGTGCTTGTAAAGTATCGAAAAAATTCAAAAAATAACCTAATGGGTATTTGTCACCTGGCTAGAGTAACCACCTTAGATGGGTATTTTTCAAGATGAGGTAAGGGTCGGCATCGGACCAGATCACCGAGAGCAATATTATTTAGACTTAAAATACAGACCCGATTTGCTAATTCAATTAATTGCGGTCATTGATTTAACTGTAAATTCTAACATTTATTAGAACTTACTACTTATTCAATAATTATGGTTGATCACCTACTTTATTCTTTTATTTTTTATTGGAAATTTTGGAAGATTTACTTTGTGGCCAAATCGGATTTTTGTAAAAGGGTATTTGATAACATGTCTTCAAGGTTTTTATTAAAAATATGTATTTTAGTCACGCTTTTATAGCGAAAATGTAGATTTGAACTACGTTTTTTTTTTTAATTAAAACAATGATAATTTTTTAAAAATGAGTTAGAAAAGTACAATATCAATGAAAAAGGTTTAAAAACTACGTCAAGTCAGTAAAATATTAATCTCAAAGAGGGCTTGATTTTATATAATGGGGCCTCACGACATCAAAATTAGAAAAATTAATGGCATAAAAAAAAAAAGTGTTCCCATGATTCAAAACACCTTAGATTTCACATCTCTTTCTCAGATTCAATTTCATAGATTTGACATAGTGATTTTTGGGCAAGGGAAATCACAGATTCCTTGGCTTTTCTAATGTTTTGAGGGAAAGTATTCCTTCTCTCAACAACCATATGTAATGATGAATGAATGCACTTATTTATTCCTTCTTAGTTCTTCATGGTATGCATAATTGCAACTTTTCAAGGAGGTAAATTCATGAATCTGAGCACTCAGGTAGATCAAGCGGTAAAAGAAATGAATTGTAAATGTAAATGTTTTAAATTTAAATTTTGACAATTCTTTCGTGTCAGGTCACGAAAAAAAATTTTCTCGTGAATATCTTAATTCCGGTGTGAATGGTCTATCTTTGATCAGACTAACAAAAAATTAATCGAAATACATATAAATTAGTCCAAACACATTTTCTCATTTAACTAAAAAAAAAAAAAGGAATCTGAGCACTCAAATCTTTAACCATTACTGGGTATGATGCAGATAAAGACTTGAGACAGTGGAAGATAGTGTTTTTCAGTGCATTCAAAAGCAATGTCACCCTCTGCACAAAGTTGGGTCCTTTTTTCAGGCATGCTAAGCTCTATGGGTTATCAAATAAGATTAATCGTAAATTGCACCTCGAAAAAATTTTTAATTTTTAATTTGTACTCTTAAAAATAAGAAATCTTAATTTACACCCTCAAAGATATGAAGCTACAGTTTGTCGTCTAAAACTAAATAAATAAATTACACTTAAACCCCTTTATATTTAAAATATTACACTTATGGCTTAAAAATCCAAATATGACTAAAAGTGTTTCCCCCAATTGGACATCCAAATAATTATGTTCAAATGATGTAATATATTGGATATAAAGAATATTATATAATACTAGTACTCTTGAATGTGATATAATACCTACATTGTATTAGACATTTAAAATATAAACTTAATTTTAAACATTAGAGTATAACGGATTCACAAAATAAAAAATAGTAAAAAGAATTATAGTTGTTTATTAGGATGACATCATTTTTGTTAGAACTTTGAAAGTACAAACTGAAATTTGAAAGATCTTTCAAGATACAATTTACGATTAACCCTATTAAATATAGCAACTTGTGTTGTGTAATTGAAGATCCTCACACCATTTTGCTGCAGATAGGAAAATCAGACTTATTTCTATGTAATCCCTTTATTGAAAAAATAATTAATGCTTTTTAATTTATTAACTTAATTCATTACAATCAGATTGTGAATCACAACAAATACTAAGTCACTGTAAATTCAATTATTACAAATAGTTAGATTAACAAATTAAATCCAATTAACAATACTGTCGAGATTTGAATAGTGTTGATGGTTACCATCACACGACCAATTGGTATCTCGAGATTTGAATTCTCTCCAATTATAAAAATAGTAGAAAAATCCTCGAATTTGGTAGTTGGCGCAAAGCTTCTCCCCAATAGGCAGTTCCGCTACATCTCTCTACTGCAAACACTAATATTTGGAACGCTGGAAGAATGCAAAGTGAAAAGAAGCTACCAGCACATCATCTTCCTCTTCAAATTCCACCCCTATGCCACTATGCTGCAATGGGTGAAGGCATTAACACGACCAGTGATAATCTCAAAGTTACTGACAAAATTAATAGTCTAATTAAAAAAAATACCAAAATTCAAAATTAATGTACAATGTACCAAGGTGTAGGGCCGCAAAAAAAAAAAAAGAAATCAACAAGAAAAGTTCAGCCTATCAATTTTCAGCTTCTGCTTCGACGGATATCATTCCTTCATCGCTGACTTTCTGATCAGAAACTGCTTCGGTCGTCTCCTCCATTATGCTCCTCTGGGGCAGCTCCTGCTTCAGCCTACTGATTTCATCTTCCTTCTCTTCCAGCCTCTCTTGTAAGATTAGCACCTGCAAAATAATGCAGTCCAGCAGTAGATCTTACTGAAGTCAACTTAACAATTTTAACAGTAATTCGGATGCATGAGACTGTAAATTCAGATATATATCTAACTTGAATACACAAATTCTGGTAAATTGTTAGGTTAATAAAGGCCAGCACACCAAAGTAAATGTTGCAGGCCTCAACCTAGTATTTCAGCACACTAGTTTTTTAAGGGCTAGGATTTGCATGTGAAAAACGATTAAATATTAAAATTCTTAGTTTAAATAGTGCGCGTGATTCTCATTCAAGCTTGTGAAAACTAGTGAAAAACAACATGAACCAAATGAATAGAGACAATTTGTTGCAGGATAATGCGTCAGATATATATATAATAGTATGATAATTCAAAATTTTGGTGGGATCTTCACTTCATCTTGCGATAAATATACAATGTACATGATTGGTACATGTGCAATTTACTTTAGTTAGATTCCCACCATGATCGATTCAGTGAATTGTTAAAATCGTATTGCTTCAATTACAACATTGCAATGTAGTCATATATATATATATATATATATATATATATTTTTGTGATCTCTTTCTTTACTCAATGAGAATAATGAATAAAATATCATCTCTCAGCAAAAATTGAAAAAACTTTAATTCTAAATTTTAATGGCAGACTAATAAGTAGAACTGAATTTTGTCAAGCAAATATAAATCAATGGTGTTAATTATGTATGCCTGCTAACTATCGTCTATAAAAAAACTGGATGATCATGTACGACTATGATCTTTTAGTCTAAAAATCCACACTAGTTAACTAAACATAAATACACCTATCATACAGTACTGAATTACTACGAATGGAATTATAACTATTTCTACACTCATGTAAAACATTATTGTTTATAATGTATTCCTAACATGTCTGTGTCCTACTTTTCCAAGAAATACAGTGTTCGTGTGTCTATGTCGTGTCTGTATCCACGCTTCTTAGAATGAAAAAGGAAATAAGTAGACACAGAGATAGAAGAAAACCATTTCATTTGATTTTTCAACATCGTTGGTCAGCCCCTCCATTTGCTTATACAATCCTGCATGGAACAACAAAAATTTTCAGAATGACTGGCAAGGACCAAGAATCTCTACATATCAAGCACAGAGCAATAACATTGAAGTTTAGGCGATTAAGAAATCTATAATTCTGAGGAGCTTCCACAAAGACGAAAAGAAAGGATGAACTAATTAAAACAAAATCCAGCATTGCAACAGACAAAATGTACTATTATCAAATAACATTTTGTGAAATTTGATGACCCATCAACAGTTGGCATAAAAGATAGTGGGGATTACAACTGCTACTGAAGTTCTGATAACTGGATACTAACTTGAGGAAATTTTGTTTTAATTCCCTATTAAGTGATGGCTTCATCATCTACACACTTGCACAGGAGTTGTTCTATTATCTGACAAACCTGTGTGACCTAAATTTGCTTCTTCAGGTGAGGACTTATATGAGAAAACTGTAGAAATCTATGTGCACTGGAAGAACAAAAATGTATCTGAAAAGAAAATGAATGAAAACACTTTGGCTCACTATTTAGTAGGACTCGTTCCTAGACTGCCAATACATACAATTGATGTGGGCATGCGATCAGTCATGACTATCTTTCAGGCCCACCAAACGGACAAGATGGATGGTAAAATGCTAGCATTGGAGCACTTTGGCTCACTATTAGGTCAGACTATTTTTATAGACTTAAGAAATATGTTGTACTATATACAACGCATACACAATTGTGTGCGAATGTGTACATTCTACCAGTATTACTGTGAGCCATTATATTTTTCCTTGGTGCAACCATATTGATTCCAAATTTAGGTGTGCCTGCTACTTGTTTCACTACTTTAGGATATGGCAGACAAATACAGACATATTGAAAGAGAAACATATAAATGTGGCAACAAAAATCCATAGAAGTCCTGTAAAGAAACATCTATGGCATAAGGGTAACAAGTAAGGGTAGTTCAACAATTAAATTGTTTGCCTGAGGATTGGATAGATTAGAATAAAACGTATTTTCTTAATACTTCTTTGAAAGAGAATGAAAATTCTGATAATTTGAAGAAAGGAGAGACGATGGTACTATGGTCATTGAATTAGAATGATAATGCCAAAATAAAAATGGTAATCCTACTCTACTTCTCTCTCTTTTCAAGGCCCAAGCTGTCTCTAAATTCTGAGGGAGAAGTGAATTTGGATTCACACCCCTCTAATAATTTTTTCAAGAGGGAAACAGAAAAAGTAGTTCCCACAAAGCATTTTAGAGATCATCACTTCAGTGCTCTCAAGTGAAATCTTATTTTGATAGTAGGTGACACTGCCCAATAACTTATCATTCGATAAGCCAAACCCACATCTAACAATCTAGTTCAATCATTTTTTATTCTTATCCTAAATGCACGCATATGTTGGTGGATATTGCTTGAGGACTGACACATTAAAGGGGCAACATATTATGGTGATGCTATTTTTTTCTAGGCTGGTAATCTCTCTGAAACAGCGAGCATACTTTGCATCCCTAGTATGGTATCACTTCATAATTGGACTTTCTTCTTTTTCATTTTAGGTTGGCCTTGGATTGCCATAAGTACAAAGAAAATAGAACAAGAACCACCATTAATTTTCATTCAACAAAAGCTTGACAAATCCTTTCCAAACTGGCAGTGCATTCATTCTTGAAACCATTAGCTAAAACTAAAAGAAACCTGTAATTAACTACAACAGAAAATCTATCTAATATTACAGCTAGGAAATTGGATTTTCAACTTATAAAAGCACGACAGTTAAAATTGATCTAATTTTTATCTGCTTTGATCTAATAGTACAAAATTAATCCTAATTTTTTTTCCCACTTAAAAACATCAACTTCTTTGCATGACCCCCAATATTAGACAACTCAACCAACACACACCCCAATGCTACACAACCTCTCACTAATCTACACCTACCTCTCACTTTTCTTTACCCTACTCCTCTCTTATTTTCTCTTTGTTCACTTTAATTTTAAATTGCGTAATTAAAAAAAAAATAAATAAATTGATATTTAAAATTTAGATATTGCACCATCAATATTTGATTTTTAGTAGTATAGAGTGCCTTCAGATGCAGGGTCATTACTAGTGTGTGTGTGTGTGTATTGCAGAAGGAAACCTAGAAAACACTGACCTTCGAATTGACTTCTGAGTTCTGCATTCTGGGACTTTTGTAAGGCAAGTTTCATTGCTAACTCATGCATCTGGCAAAAAAAAAAAAAACAATGTAAAGGAAAACATCGACCAATCAGACCTCCTTAGCAAATAATAGGAGAAAATCAAATAAGGAATGTGACGACATGAGCCAATCCATCTCACCCTAGTCTATGCACAGATGCATATACAAATGATGGAACTGGACACAATTTGAAGGATATCGAGTGCTAAAGATGTCATTCATTTCATTTTTTTTTATATTTTGCTCCCACAGATCAAATATGTTCAACTAATTATGGAGCAACATTAAGATTCCTGACCCCATCACATCAAGTTATCAACGCATGTGAGATGGAAGGGGATATTATCGTCTTCATTGTCACACGTAGATTTCCACAAAGAAGCAATATTGATTAGACTATATTGTTATCTGCTAATCCTCTCTCCTCAATCACATTTTTTACCTGAATGAAGAAATAAGATGTAATATCATTCAAATCTAATTCAAGTACCTTTCCTTCGTTAGCTTGATTTCCTATCTCCTCATTTTCTTCCTGCAGGGTCCTGCATTTAGCCATTAGCATCTTCCCCATCTTGCTCTGTGGGGTAAAATTGACAGCGGCAATGTTATCCTGCAACTCCTTCACTTTTTTATCCTTTTCCTCTACCAAGTTCTGGCATCGTGACATTGAAGAATATAGTCAGCCAACATATCCATACATATGTAAAATCCCTGTACATACATAGAAAAAGGCTTTCCAACCTAGGTATTCAACAATCATATCCTATCAAAGCATGCTAGTAATAACCAATTCAGGAATTATAAGAGCTCAACATGACATATACATAGAGGTACACAAGCAAAGAGAGAATAAGGTGGATTTTAGGTACAGTAAAATTCAACTTGCAATAAGAACTCAGGAGTCGAAAACAAGGACCTTCAACCGTGTAAACTCTTCATGAATTGCTGGATCTAGCAGTAACTTCCTCGCCTGTCAGGTTTACCACATTAAACTAGTAAGCCTCATGCAAGAGAAACACAGTGAACTATTTTGCAACACATAACCATAAAGCAGAAAAACTTGCACATTTTATCAAACCTGTATAGATGGTGGTTTAAGTTGAGCCCTCAAATCCCTAACTGCAGACTGAAAACATGAACAAACAAATTCAGAGAAAGACACATATGAGGACAACAAACAGTGATACTAAGAACTGGCCTTAATAAACCAAAAACTGATATTAAACTTTAATCAATAACTTCCTAGTAGCTATATCAGGCATTTAGGATAAAATGAAGCTTGCACATGCAATCTCCTCATTGGCAATCTACTTAAATTTTTCCCTGAAATCAAGGTTTCATGTAGCTGGTACAGATTCCAAGTTCAATCCAACAGAAATCCAGATATTATGTCACCATGGTCCCAAATGACCTTGTCAACTTAATGACCATGGAAGCTCATCCCAGAAACCAGGTACACTATCAGATGTAAACAAAAAGAGCTATCTTCACTTCGTTCAAGCCCGTTGGATGGGTGTGGTATCCTAACAGCAAGGCTTTTTCCGTCTGATTTGATAAAGCAAAGGGGGCCATTTTTCTTGTCATCGGGTGGAGCTTATAGCAGCCAACTCATAAACCAGAAAACATCTCCAACTTCCTCAGTCTTAATGCTGGATAGTGGATCCAGGATTCGCTAGAGTTGAAACAAAACCTCAAGCTAAAGGAAACCGTATTAGAAGACTTCCAAGAGAAAAGTCAATGGCTCATCAGGTTGTTCACTTGATATAAACAAACTATTTCTTTTTGGTCCACTATTGTTACCTCTCATTTTAGGGGAAATCTCGTTTTGTTTGTGTTCCTACACTGCTCCTCAAAATTTATTGTCCTTTAAAAAACTCGTATCACTTACTTCAAAAGAAATATCAGGCAAATAGAAACATCGAACAACAAAGAATTAAATGTTGTATGCACAACATATGAAATGCAATGAACTGGTAAAGGAAGACTTCACCTTCAATTCTGCTATTTCCTGCTCCCGTTTCGCAAAAGTTACGATAAATGCAGCTTCCTTTTTCTTCGCTTTTTCTAGCTGATAACACCAAAAAAAAAAAATATGGTTGACACGACATGATTCATGGTAACTTGTTAGACAGCAAAGAAAGCATAATACTGTCGCCAACCTGCTCTCTCAATGACTCTTCAGAGGACTTCAGGGTCTGAAGATAAGTGACCACTAATCTGGGTTCTACAGGGAAATAGGAAAATTAATTATTTGAGAGGAATATGACACAAAATGGACACACTCACATGCTTATAACCAGGGTTAGTTCTCTTGCTAAAACAAATAATTATAAGCCAAGATCACCCCTTGATAGAAAAACAGTAAAGTAAACAGAGAAAGACTAACCTGGGAGTGTGCCGGGCGGTATGAAGGACTCGCTCTGAAATGAAGAATGCCACTTCTGAATCTCAGACTTTGTATCTTCAAGCTCCGTCTAAAAAAAATAAAAGGTTAACCAGAAACATGGTGAACAATTTGTACCAATTATAAACATAACACACATGCATTCTATAGCAGACATTGTGAAGATATCAACATTAAACATTAATCTTAAAAAATGTCAAATACTAACAGACACAAAATTATATACATATGGTGGTATTTTACATGTCTTTTTCATCATGATTATCAAAGTAAAAATATAAATTAATCTTCACATTCCGACATTCAACATTTTATTCTGTATATACATTGGAAACAATCTCTTCGCCTGTTGGTGTAAAATTGCAAAATTGCGTACATTTGACCCTCCCTAGACTCGACAATAACAAGAGATTGTATATTGCGTTACATTTTCAGTTCATGTCTCTTTTTTTTGAGAGAAAGCAAAATTATCATTAAAAAAAAAGAAAAAACGTACAACGGAGTGGGTAATTCCAAGAGGGTGGCCATCTTTATTCTAGACTAAGCTTGTTGTGCTTGGGAATAGATATAAAACGTCCATGTTGTGGGATTGTGTGGTTATGGCAGTTTTTAAGTGGTGTGATTGGAAAGGAAAAACAGAATTTTATAAGATAAAGATGAATATGTGGACTTTCTGTGGGTTATAATCAAGCTATTGGCTTCTTTATTGGCATTGACCACAAAACAGTTCAAGGATGCACCTTTTTTCTCCCTTAATCACCATTGGATGGTGGCATGTAGTTAGATGAATACTTGCATAGCTCCATGTCAATGTATCTTGTTTTGATGTTGTATTACTGTTTCATTACTAGCCATTGCACACAAAAACCTTTTGAATTCCCAGCAAAGAATGATTAATATAAAAAATGACAGCTCCTCTTAAAAATGTTGGAATCCCAATGGTAGAAACCCTATCATTACAAAAAAGATAGTATTGATCTCGTATGGGTACTTCATTAAATACATCTATCATTCGAAGTCGGACACAAAAAAATATAGCTCATAATAATGAGGACAAAAACAAAAGAGTCGGTGAGCTACTCCAAAGCGTCCAGTAAACTAATAGACCGCCCGGAGAAAAGCTAGCCTGGTGATAAAGAATGGGAGTAGCGTTGACAAAGAAGAACAACCGATTAAAAGATAGAAAATCTTTTGATTTATATCTTTCAATTATTATTATTATATACAATAAGAATAGAAATATATAAATATTCTAGGCCAGCTTGAGAAGCTACCCTTCCTAAAAAAATTATGTACCAAAAAATCTTTTAGCACTACCCAATATTCCTTCTTTTTCCAAATATTTTTACAAGAGCTTCGTCAATATTTTTTGCAATTCCAATTTCCAAAAGCATTCGGCAATGTTACCAATCTCCATATCAACACTTAATATGAGGTCGCCAAATTATAGTGGCAACATATTGTATACAATGACCACATAAACCACAACATTAGGTTAATTTTGTACATAGCCAGTCACCTTACTTCTTACGAAGTTTGACAACTTTTTTCCCGTACATGCAAACTTGCACCCAATATAATGATGGAAAACTATAACAGGCATGACCATAAAAAAATGGTACTCCATCCTGGACAACACGATGATGCTCAGTATTTGTCACCACTTTAAGGTTTTGACCACTAATTTAACCAAATAGTGCTTCCTAACTTGACCAATTTTAACTTTTTCTCTCCTATTTACAAACTCACACCCAACATGGCGATAGAAAAAATATCATGCATAAACCGCAAAAAACGAGGTTAGCTATAACCCCACCCTACCCCCCGCGCGGGGATCCCCCAAAATATATATATATGACAGAAAACAACTATTTTGACATTATTCCATAACATGGTCATCAACGGGCGAATAGATGGACATCTAACAAACCTAGGTTTACATTTACCAATAATATCTTTGATGATTGCCAAACAAAGATAATAAAGGAAAAATTGATTTATTTTTGTATATGCAGTTATGCACCGATACATACTTGGCATGTCGCAAGGGTATCCTTACAGTTCTGAAGACTGCAAAATTCAAACCACAAAAGAAAGGAAAATGAGTAAGGCTAGGTAGTAGATAAAAGTAATTAAAATCACCTGTAATCTTTCAAAACTCATAACATACAATTTACAAATCAATCATATTTAACAATACCTCTCACGAAGAGACAAAATCATCCCTGTTGCCACACCGGGTGCAGTTTCTTCTACTTTTAAGTTACTCTGAAATTAAAAGAAAACAATTATTAAGCCTTGAACAACACTCACCAACTTCCACAGTTCATTGTAGCACAGGCATTGTACATTCACAACTTAATTTTTGTCTCACATATTGCCAGATTTAGACAACATCTAATCAAGAAAAGACCAAGAAAATGAGTACGGTAACTGACAAACATTAATCATGATTAAATTACTAGTTTAATTTGGCGCAAGTCACAACCTAGACACCAAAGTGCATCGCAAATTACTTCAGGCTATGTGACTTCCAATTTGAGAATCTTATCGATGTATTCCTCACAAACACCCTGAAAGCTTCCTGCATGCTATACATACGACGTACTCTCATAAAACCATTTCTTTCACTAAGCCTCAATTTGCATTTGAAGGATGCAAAAACTCCTCAAATCCTAAAAATTACTAATAATTACCTGTTATTCAAAGAAAAGGTTTTATGTCGAGATTCCTTTCAAAGAAGCAGCTTCCCTGCACCGTTTTATTTTAAAATCATTTCTTATTAGCTACCTTTCAATTTATTTTGGTAGGAAGACAACCATATGAACTCCAAGGCGAGAAGTTCTAGCAGCAGCAAAATAAGCACCAATGCTTTCTCCCTTAGGCCTTAACACTCCCGGTTCAAATGCCAACTGCTATCAATTTGCATAACTATCACCATAAGCACTACTCTGTCATTCCCCATTAAAAAAGACAAAAATCGCCACAATTATACCAACTAAGACAACTTCAAGAGTTTGGAATTACCATAAATTTACTACATGATTATAAGCACCGTTAAAATCAAAGCTTCCCCATTAAAACATATTCAAAAGGGTATGCTTTTAACAACACATTACATAATAAATAAAAATCCGAAGTTCGATAATACCTTCTTTGACCCAAAAATATCATCTTCATCATCCTCAAGATCTCCAAAACTTCTCTTATTACCTGAAGCAACATCAACCATTTAAAACAATTAACGAAATCCTCAAGCAACAAATCCAATATAAAATATCCGAATAACATTTCTAAAAAACCGAAGAACCTGAACGTCTGGCTGTATTGCTTCCAGGAAAATCGCCACCAAAATCATCATCCTGTATATTCCCAAAACATTCAAATCACAAAAACACAACTACAAACAAAGAGTAAGTAAAAGAAATTAGTAGAGTAGAATGAAAGCACTTACATCGTCCAGATGCGGATGAGACGCCATTGAAATGAGTTGGGCTCAAACCCTAAAAATTTTGTTCTCTCAGTCTAAAGTGCATGAATAAATGAAAGAATTGTTTCGAGAAAAGGGACAACTTTGGAGGGGGGGAGTCGAGGGAAAAGCATATCTAACAAACATCTCTCCGAAATTGGGATTCATGAAATGGTAAACCCCATGGGGGTGTTTGGATGCCCGGAATGGAATGGATAGGATATCAAATTTGTGCCCATTCCAATCCAATCCAAATCCATCCAACCACCTCCATTGGGTTAGATATATTTGGATATCCCATCCTACCCTATGTTTGATAAGCAATTTTTTACTCATGTGGGGCCCATGGATATGAGCGATGTTAACAACAATATTTAGGTTAGTTTTACCAATATACCCCTTAACAATTCAAATCCAACCTCATCTTTGGAACACAAATTTGACCAAAACCCATCTCAAAAAAAACAACTAGCATTCACATATAAAAATACTGATAAAAATAATATAAAAATACATACAAAAAAATTTATTACCATTAAAAGAAATTCATGCATAGTAAATAGACAAAACATTGGTGTTTGGATGTTTATATGTTAAAATCACAAAATTAAACACCCTTGTTACCATCGAGCTACATAATTACATCACAAAGTCTAAACAATATAAAAGTGCCCCGCCTATGATGATGAGTCATCTATCACAATGACTTCCAAATAATATGCACTTTACTGCCTTCAACTGTCAGATTCCCACAAGTTTTCTTGACGGAATGTTCCTTCTCAAACTTGTGTGATGTACATGATGAAACACCCTTCCATTGGCATGTCAGACAAGTGTAAATAAGAAACACCCTTCCATTTCCAAGTTGATACATATTGAAATGCATAACCAAAAAAAAACAAAGCACTAGATGTACAAATGTATCAGATGAAACCGGAACATAAAATAATAACTTATTTTCAATAGCATACAAATATTTCAAGTTGCAATCTATTTTTCTTTTTTTTAGTTACGCTTATTATTAAGAAAAAAATGAATTTAAAAAAATATGGTCCAAACCATTTCTCAGATTCAATATCACACTCCAATTCTACCTTAATAAAAGCATTTATCAACTATTGCAAACCAAATATCAAACCAACACTCACTACCAAACACCTCTCACTTGTTCAACAATGTTCTGAACAACAAATCAAAACCCCAAAATCAACAAAACTGTGCGTTTAATTCTTAACTCAAGAAATTAGAAGCAATGAATGGTAGTATTAAAAAAGTACCCATACTTGGACTTCGTTCATTCTTGGTCCTTTTTCGAACAACCAAAATAAATTTACCATAATCTATTGAGTAAAATTTGTAGAGCATAAAGTGGAAACATGAGACATAAAAAGTAGATGACTGGGCAAGTGATCAAGTGAATATACATAAATCTAGCAATCAAGTTAGCACTACACCATGCCAACGAAATCCAAATTGTATACCCATTAAACCAACCCTCAAATAAAAATAAAATGATCACTCTAAATCAAATATCTTCATATTAATGCCATAAAATCATAAAAACTAAGATAACATTATTTGGACAAATTGTTTGAATAATCACAACATCATGGCTCTATAAACCATAGTTTTAAAACCCGACCCGGACATCAATCCGGTAAAAAGACTGGGTCAATGGATCATCGGTTCAATCGGTGGGTCACTGGTTATACCAATAATATAACAAAAAAATAATTATAAATATATATATATATATATTTTTTATTTTTTTTTGAAGGGGAGAAGGGGAAAGGGAGAGAGAAGAGCAGAACTTGAATCATTGATCTCAAGAAGGTAAAGTCATTCCAAGGCAAGTGATACCATTGGACCGTTATAAATAGGCTAAAAAATCACAATAAATTTCTAGCATCAATAACATCCCAACAATATTGTCATTGTTAGTGTGCTGTAAATTGTTGTAAATTCTCTCATTTCATTTCATAGCAACAATAATAACAATAACATCCCAAAAATATTGTAATTGTTAGTGTCATAGTTTTAAAACCCGGCCCAGACATCAAACCAGGAAAGGGACTGGGTTAATGGTTTACTAATTCAACTGTTGGGACACTGATCGAACCGATAATATAATAAAAAATAATTATTAATATTAATAAATAAGTTAATAATTATAAAAATAGCATGTATAATGTATATTAGACCAAACAAAAACCTAAAATCAAATCACCATCCAGAGAGTTGAGAGAGAATAACTACTAAAATATGTCCAAAAATATTAATATCCCAGAAATAAATCATTTGAACAAAAATTTTCCCCATGCCTATACACAGCACAACTGCTCATAAACACCACAACTGATCACATCAAATAAAATTAACATTTATAAACAAACAAACTCACATTAGCATACAAATATCTAAACCCAAAGATGTTATAGAACTGCATATATGCTGTGTCGAAAATAAGGCATATCCATCAAGGAAACAGCAAATAACAGAACTCTAAGCATCAAGAAGAGAAACGAACAGAGGAACCAAAAAAAAAATTGAAACCATGTCGTTATTATAACAAAATCAACTTAGAATCAGTCAAAAACATACATTGTATTTCATGAATCGACAGAAGAACTGGAAGGCAAAAGAGAGTAGGTGAGAGAGAGAGAGAAGGGGAGGGAAAGGGAAAAGGAAAACTCACCTCGTCACTAGTTCCGTCTACAATCGCTGGACTGGAGTCACTGTTGGACCATTGGTGCTGGCAGGAGGTTGGACTAGAGTTGATGTTGCTTGCGTGCTGCTGGAGGCTGGACTAAGCCGCTAGAGTCGTTGCTCCCTACTGGGATGGAGGCTGGTAAGGGTGTTCAAATTTCTGATTGGCCGTAATTTCCTATCCTACTCGACACTACCCTACTGAACGGCTAGCCGCAAAAATTAAGTAGGAATGCAGAAAAATTTTTGTTCTTCCGAATAAATCAGGTAGTAATGTGAAATATCTATCAATTTTCGTATTCCTACCCTACCCTACCCGCAAAAAATATATCTAAATTTTTTATATTTTTTTTAGTAATTATAAGAATATTTGTGGTATAATTTATTTTATAGCATTGTTACTGTTGTGGATGTTTGAGTTGCGAAAACATGGACTTGTTTTTTGTGTAAGTTACATGATTTGTGGTGAATTGGTTATCTATTGGAGCAGTTATGATTTTAATGTGTTTCATATAGTTTAAACTTAAAATAATTTTTATCGTATTTGTGTAACAATTATGATAGATTAATATTTCTACTTTCTTATGTTTTATTGTAATTGTTGTTTTAGTTGTTTTATATTTTAGTGTTATTGATTTATTGTATTGTTAAATTAATACAAGTTATTTAATTGAATTGTTAAAATAATCCAAAAATTAATAGCTACAAAAGTGTTTATCCTACTTCCTACCCGATTAATCGGGTAGGAAGTCAGATAAGAATACCACGCCTGAGCGGGTAAGGTAGATCAAGAAAAAATTCTTCCGCAAAGTATCGGATAGGAAGACGGAAGACTATATTTCCTCCCCGTAGGGTAGGGTGAATACCCCTAGAGGCTGGAGTCTGAACTGGACACTGGAGTCACTGAAGGGAGGTAGCCGCTGATCTAGCCTAGTCCATCTAAAGCGATTTAGGGCAAAACAAAAAGGCAAAAACACAAAACGCCCAAAAGTACAAAAAATCTGAAATTTATAGAAATTTAATTAAACTGCTCGGTTTGATTCAACTCGTCCGGTTCGTAGGGGTTCACCGGTTTTTTACTGGTTCAGTTACTTCAGTAGTTTGATCCTAGCTTTCATGCACAAACGATCTTTTGCTCGAATCGGCCCGGTTTGAATACCGGTTCACCGAGTCAACTCGTCGGGCCGGGTTTTAGTGTGTTGATAATAACAATAACATCTCAACCATAGTTATCAAATCATGTATCGAAAGGTGTATCATTTTTTAAAAATAATATATCATACCGTATATCGTGTATTGTAACATACGACGCAATTTTTAATAGATAATAATAAAATATATATACCTTTGAAAAAAAATAATAGACTCATAAAAATATAGCATTTCTTAATACTCCACCAACTATTTAAGTCATCAATATAGTTCACTAATATTATAATGTAAAGTTCACACCATAGTTCAAAAGTTAACATTAATCAAGATTCAGAAATTTTGATTAAAAAAAATCAAAAAAAAAAAAAAATTGCTTTGTAAATAAATTAACAGCATTTCTTACACTGCACAGGTTTCGCGGAAGAAAGAAGAAAAAGGCAACTGAAGCTGCAGATCTAGATCTAGAGAAAGCAAGGCTTGGCTGCTTCGTCGTTGTCAACAACAAAGAGTAGAGAGAGAGGGACTAGGGTTCATCGTTGTGAAGAACAGAGTAAAGAGAAAGACTTGGGGCTGCTATGTTTCGTCGTCGTGAAGAACACCCAGAAGCTGTTGTGTTTCGTCGTAGTGAAGAACACCAAAACCTAATGTGTTTCGTTGTGAAGAACACCCAGATGCAGCGAAGACAACAAAGATGGAGAGAAAAGCGAGATTTTATTTTTTGTAAACCCTAGCCACTGAAACGACATCGTTTCAGTGGCTATAGGAATTAAAATATTAGTCTCCTCCAACACTTAACCGTCGTTCCAATCAAAAAAAAAAAATTTAAACAGCCTTAAGCGTATCATAACGATACGTATCGAAAAACGTATCGTGTATCGAACGATACAACGCAAAAATGATACAAAACTACGATTTATATCGTTTTACCTCTGTATCGTGTATCGTCTGATACTAACAACAATGATTCCAAACAACATCATCTCATTTCACAACATCTACTTATAACATATTGTAAAGGAGTTAATTGCAATGGAAGTCCCCAAAATATGAAGTTTGTCTCATTTTAGTTCCGAATATTTCAATTGCATCATTTTGGTCCCTGAAATATTGAATATGTTTCTATATTTTCCTTCAAGCAGACAACGTCTAGATTGCTAACAATTTTTTATCATAAACTTGTCACGTAATACTTAAATATGGACAAAATATAATTTTGATAGCTCTTAAACAAAATTTGAGTAGTGCTTGATAAAAAAAAGTGTGTAATATGGGTAACTTTTGACCAAAATTTGAATATTTCATGATCAAAACTGTGAAATTTAGATAACTATTTAACTAAAATTTGAGTAGAATTTCAATCAAGAGTTATCCAAATTATTTTTTGTTCATATTTAAGTATCGCGTGATAAATTTATGATAAAAAATTGTTAAAAATTTGAACATTGTCTGCTTGAGGGACTATATAGAAATATATTCAATACTTCAAGAACCAAAATGATGCAATTGAAATATTAGGGACCAAAATGAGACAAATTCTATACTTTGGGAACCTACGGTTCAATTAACCCTACTGTAAATTGTAATCACAGGTTGTAAATTGTACTTATTTGATTCTATATACTAAACTACTTATAATTGCATGTTTGCTCATAGCATTATCAAAGATTCAATGTATAAATATCAAAAATTACAAATCAAATATAGTAGGAGCAGATTAGTTATTGTTAGAGAGTAGGGAGACCGAAACCATGTTAGGAAAGTAGACAGATCAATACCCAGAAACCAAAGAACAAAATTAATGCTCCAAATTTTAAAATTCCCAGAAATGTAAATTTATCCCAAATGAAAAAGTGCAATTGTTCAGGATTCTGCACATAGATATAATATAAAAATGGAAATCAGATCCCGGGCAACGATTCCAACAAGCTAAATATATTTCAGGATGTAAATATTATGCAAGAGTACAAGAAGGGGTCATAGATTCAGCTTTTAGAGAAAGAACAAGAAAAATCCAGATGAGAAAGAGAGAGAGAGAGTGGTGTACCTGGTGTCAATGGTTGTCGACGGCTCGATTCTTCAATGGAATGGAGCTTTGAAGCAGCCTCGGGCTTCGTCTTTTGCTTGCTCGCAGCGGCACAGAGAGAGAACAGAGATTGAAAAAAACTTAAACAGATAGAGAGATGGACTGGGCTGATCGATCGTTGCGAAGAGAAGAGGCAGAGGCTGGTCTTCGCGTTTTTCGTTCGACTTCATAAACAGACCAAGTGAGTGAAACTGTCGATTTAGGGCAAAATGCCCAAAACTCAGGCTTTTATAAAAATATAAAATCGTCCGGGTGGGAACGGTTCAGCGGTTTTCAGACGATTCAGCGGGTTTCAGCCTGGTGCATAAATGGTTCAGTGGCCCGTTTAAACACCAGTTGAACGGGTCAACCCGTCGGACAGGACCGAATTTTAAAACACTGCTATAAACCCAACGAATAAAATCACAAAACAGAGAAACGTACATAGCACACTTCCAAGAGCATCCAATATTTTGTGAAAAACATGTGGATTGGATTTCAAATGTCAATCATTAGATTTCCTAGTAAAACGGATTATAATTACGACACCATACTTCTTAACACATCTGGGCAAGTTGTGATCATGTTGGTAGTCATTCAAACAATTATCAGCATGTTTGGATCAAAATGCCCATTGTGGTCATGTTGGAAGGAGTGGGTGGCTGTGAAAAACAGAGGGACAAGAACAACAACTAGAATTGATCATGTTCCTTTCCCATTAAACATATTCATTAGAGACGCTTGAGAGAGATCACCACTGTA